TTAAAATTCGTTTTTATTACTTTTAAATTCAAAATCAACCTTTTCCGATCTTTGTTTGCAAATAATCAACTAAGATTTTGGTTTTGCATTAATTGTTTTAAATAATCCCAGCGGAAAACGACCTTACTTAAGCCGTTTATACTACAACTACCTTATTCTCTTACAAGTATTTTGTGTGATTTTAATCTCTTTGTGCGGGTACCTATAAATCCTATCAACCCACAAAATATTAGTCCACAATACATCGGGTGTAGCTACAATGCTATGTATCATTCAATGCTACACGTGTTTTGACCGTTAAATTTAATCTCCGCGATTGTTTAGATCTTCTATTTTCGATCTCCGCCATTCATTTTCCGTATCATTCAATACGGTGAAGTATTAAAAATCCAATCCAACAACCAAGTCGAAGTAAGTAACTAGGGAAGCTGGAATAGTAGCCTACAAGGCTCTCAAATATAAAAGCAGTAATCAGAGTGTCGAATTCCTACTAACTTAAAGATACAAAGTCTAATTTCTGGAAGGTCATATAATATAACATTCACTTTCCATCATTCAGTGGATACATTTCACTTGTTCTTGGTTCTAATCTGCTTAAACTTATTGCCATGATTCCTGATTAATTTATATCTTCATATCATCTACGCATCGGTGAAAGATGTTATATACAGTTGCTCATCTACCTTACCGGCATGTATGCTATGGAAAAGGAACACCCGAGCGGAAAACCTGAACTTGTTCGCCACAAACCATCACTCAGCTGCACCTTCAATGTTCTTTGCTCCAGGTCTGACGATCTCCGCTAAAGTTTCCAGCATTCGAAGAATGGGATTCATTAACTTCAATTTGTACAGCACCAACGTTTTCATTGGTTTCCAGTGCCATTAAGCTTCCCACTGATCCCTCCACCCTACCATATGCATTAGACTTCACATTGCCAACTTCATCATCTTTCTTACTGGTACTTCTAGGATTAGAGCCTTTCGCGAGCTTGGCAGTTGCTTCCGATACAACACTTTCAGTTTCGGAACCAGTTGCTGCCACTTCTCGCTTGTTTGCATCTAAATTATCGGTTAAAGAGAGAGTCGTATTGGAACCTGACTGCAGATCCTTGGATTTGGGGCTTAGAAAAGCTTCCAAGTGCCTTTGGCCAGAAGCTTGACTTGCATCGCGATATAACTTTGGCAGCATCTCTGTTCCATTGAGAGAATCAGCGGTTTCAACCAGTGTCCCCGTTGAATCATTACTCAGTTTTAGTTCCTCAACTGTTTTGACTGATGAATATGTTCGAACGTCCAGATTACCACTTTCTTCACTACGCACAGCATTTTTAGCTGCCCCGACAACTTTAAAGTCGAGGATACGATTGGTTTCAATTTCTCTCTCGACTTCAATCTTTTCCGCCTTATATACCTCTTCTTCCTTCACTTTTCGCAAGCTTCCAATTTCAATTTCAGTGCTTAAAGTTTGGATGTTCTGCTTCACAGCACCGGACGCATCATCAGCCTTGTAATGTTCCTCTCTGATCTCTTCAGTGTTCCTTGTATCTTCACTCCGGGATTGATCATCTAACAATTTGAGATTCTCCCCATCATCCCCCTTGTCATCATCACTTTCTTGTTCCTCACTCTCCTCTTCCCTCTCCGTATCTTCTTCATCAATTAAATCCTCGACCCCCTCAGACTCTTCCTCGGCTCTCTCCAAATCATGTCCGTCTATTTCATCCAATTTAATCTCGTCCATCTCTTCTTCAGAATCTTCTTTCTCCTTCTGCCTTCCTATATCCAAGGAAGTTTCATCCACTCGGGGATATAGGTCGCGCCTCCCAAGTTTTATTTTTGCATTCCCGTCCTGCATCTTTCCTGATATCGTTCCAGAGCTCTCTACATATGCTTTCTTGTCATGGGAGTTCTTGAGTTGGTACAGCAACCAGATGCAAATGGCAAGCAACAGAGATATCTGAACGGCATGCTTCACCTTGAAGCCTTTTGACCTCTGGTTCCTACTCGGCGATTGCTTCAACATCGTTGATGTCTAAAATATGTATAAGCTCTACCAATCTGTATGAAGGAAAGTAAGAACGATAAGTGCATAACCACGAAGCAATCAAGAGTAAACCGAATGACACATACTTTAATATGTCTAAATTGTAAGATTCAGAACCACGCTTTGCAAACCAAATAGTTAGCGGGTTGAAAAAAAGAATCTCCTAGTGTTCTGCCGACAGGCAAAAACAATAGTGAGAAAAGTAATCAAACTCACTGTGCTCACAAATATAACCAAACTTTGTCGGCACGTAAAAACTATTAGTAACAGACTTTTATTTAGTATTCAGCACACGAAAGCGGAGTTAAAAGTAGAATATCGTTCGAATAAAATTAAAAAACATACTTAGCACAGCGAATAGTAAATGCGGAAGATATCGAATCTGCAGACAGAAAACACAGCTGAAAACAATAAACAAGAACCAAATCTAATTCCAATTTCAAGCATATCATATTACCACTGAATGCAAACAGAAACAGCATCATTTATTAGAAATTGCAACAACCCCCGTTGGAAAGAAAAACAACATACATTAGTGGGATTTCAATGTTCACAGCAATCCACAAGGCCAAAGTTCTCACTTGAAAGCTGAGTGGCTAAATTTGAGAAAAAATGAAAAGGGTTTTGAGCATTGGAACTGGCTTCATCTTCCTTACACAGATAGGGAGCTGTACCAATTGAGAAATATTCCTTGTGTTTTAGTTACCGACCCTTTTCTTTGTTTTTTTTTTTTCTGTTGAAATATGTGGTTGGAAAGGAGAGGGGGACAAGGGGTAGTTGGGGGGTGTGCATAATGTGTCCTCCTCCATAACGCCGAGGGAAAATCCAAACTCACGCACAACATTTTCAGGTCGAGTGATCGAGGTGACAGATTATACTTTTACACAGAGAGAGAGAGAGAGACAGAGAGAGACAGAGAGGACAAAAGCATTTAAATAAACTTTGGACTCGCTGACAGTGTGATGGAGAGGACAAAAGCATTTAAATAAACTTTGGACTCTGCCGGGTTGCTCACTGTATTCTCATTTTTATTCGGAGAAAGTTTTGCATGCAACATGAGGATTTGCATGCTACAAATATCACGATGATATTTTGTGTCAATAATATAAGAATATAAAAATAATAATAATAAATATTTTTGTATTATTAATATGAAGTGTCACCGTAGTGATGTACCCATGATATGCAATAAGCATCACGCATATAATATATCTTATGAGACTCCATCATATTTTGATTTCACGTAATCACGAGAATAATTTACATAGAACAAGTACATTGCTATAGTGATATCCTATGCTAATGAAATAAAAACAAGTACAACTTTCTATCTACATACAGGTGTATTTACCATGTAAGTTGTTCTTCCTAGTAACGCACGATTTTACTATGTGTGAGAGCTATCCTAAGTGCCTAATCAAGGAGTACTACGGAATATCTTCATTATAAAGGAGAATAATACGTCAAATACGACATGCAAAAACACCTTCAATTACATAAACAATTTGTTATGCATTTTCTGCCTCTTTTCTCTCAAAATTCGCAAACATGTTTAATCTATCGTGATTAGTCGCATGATGAGAGACTATGTACTTTTGTAGACATTTGGTGACATCCAAAAGTCTTTGCAAGCAGATCGTTGGTGGATTTGAATTTGATCAAATGTAAGTGAGCCAATTTGGTTGCTGATTGAAAGTTACAATAATAAAAAAACTGAATGGTGTTGCAAGTGATCTTTTATCATAATGGTGAAAAGGTATTAAACTCTTGCATTACAATGAACAATCCACAACTTACTCCCCTTTCTTTTTCTTTTCTTTTTTTTTTTTTTTTTTTTTTTTTTTGGGGGGGGGGGCTAAAGCCTGTGGTATCCCACACTTCAAAAGGAAAGGTATTAAACTCTTGCATTACAACGAACAATCCACAACTTACTCCCTTTCTTTTTTTTTTTTTTTGGGGGGGGGGGGGCTAAAGCCTGTGGTATCCCACACTTCAAAGAATAGGACTAATCCTCAATGATGCACGAAAAGACTACACACATTTCGGCCACTCGTGACCACAATCAAATGGCACACATTCTTCCAAAACCTTCAACCAAGGCACCACTTGTGTTACAAATCTCTGGGACAAGTAGCACAATTTTCCTTATAAACAAATATTCTCACATTGCACTCTTTTATTTTAATTTAATTTTTTTGTTTATTTATAGAAATTTCAATAGACAAAGGCAGCTAAGATGGCAACCCACATTTTCAGCATTCTGCTAACCCAAGGAATGAGGTTACTGTTTTTTTTTCAATTGCCAAATCCCACACTCCAAATGGTAGGATTAATCCCAAGTGGGGCCCGAAAAGGCTCCTAACCACAACCAACGTCTTCCCAAAATTTTCACCCAAAGAATCACCCTTGTTTTTGGAACCTAAGACCAAAGAACATACCTGACTTTGAATTCTACCGCATTTCCACCGAACCACTTGCCTGGTTCAAAGTAAGGCAAATGTCGGGAAAGATACCATATATTCTTCCTATGAAATGAAATGACGTATATACAAACAATTAACGAAGCTTCTAGCCCCTTTCCTAGCAACTTGCCTTATCCCTTGGAGGCCCCAAGTTGGAGCGTCCATTACATTCCTTTTTCATACTCTGCTATAGTTCTTCGACGGAATGAGAAACATATTAAAAAGGAACAGGAAGGCAACACACTTAGCCAAGAGGAACATAAAGCCAAACCCCTCAAAGACATCAACCTAACAAGCTAACTAGTCTTGCGACCGAAAACAAACAAACTAGTCTTTATAGTTAGGAGGCATATTTGAACTTCGAAGATAAGCGCAAAGGACGAGAAATGAAGGGATCATGCTAATCGAAAACAATTATACTGATATTTTTACGAGTTTAACTCTGCTTGATCAAAACTTCTACTCAAGAGGGGCAAACTTTAGGAAAAGAGAAGACCAACAGAGAAACTAATATTCCAAAATATTTGGGTCCACGAAGTAGTGTCGGTAAGCAACATAGGCAACGTTACAGAGCAGATCGCCAATGTTACTCAGATATCTGGGCGATTTGAATAATTATCGATTCAGTTATCTTAAACAAAAACCAATTGTAAAACTCAAATCAAGTCACTTACAGCCTGCATAACTGTTTCATGGAGTGACAGCGGCAGTAGATAGTTTTAAAATGCTTCAAATAACACACTGGCAGTAACTATCTTGCTTCTGCAAAGCCCAAAATTTGATCTTGGCCGTTGAGCAGATGCGGCTTGAAAATCTAACAGTAGCAATCCAAGTTGTCAGGTAAATAATCAAAATAGTAGCGAAAATAAAGGCAAGGAACCTAGGGTGTGTCGAAAGTATAATACCATCCATATGAAAATAAATCATTGAAAGTCAGAAAAGACGTATACTTGCACAAGTACCTTAAATTTGCAACAGGTCATATCCCAACTGGTGTGGGATTTATAGATCACAAAAACATAAGGAGTTTCGCTGCAGATACTTCTCTTAACTCTCTTCATCTACAAGAATGGTTGATTCATTTCCAATCCCAAGGTCCGTCAAAGTTGCCATTTCATCATCAAGCAATAATGGCAGAGGAGAACCCTGACAATTTAGGTAAATAAATATTTAACGCAGGAGCAAGAAAGTGATCATACTGGCAATAGATTTTGAATTTTTTTGAGCAATGTAGCATGAAATTTTTCAGCTTGAATTATAAATCAGTGGAAGTAGCAACTGGTACATGCATATTACTTTATACTGAGGGTAATTGAGAGTTTCTCTCTTTTGGTTCTAAATATGCTTGTGTATTAGAGTGCTTCATTATTGTTAACGACAAATGTCTCTTTCTCTCTAACAGGGAAGAATGTTCGAGAGTTTTGACAATTTTTCTCTCTATCAAAAGCAACCAGTAGGAATGACAGTCTGATGACATACTATTCTCCGCAATAGGAACTTATCAATCTTCTATAAATCAATAATGACAGAAGATATATTGTGTAATAAGGAGGGCAAACCTTTTCTTCAAGAAACAATTTCAGCTTGATAGACTTCAGCCTGAAAAAGCTTTCACAAAGAACTTTCAACTTTCCAACCTAAAAAAATGTAGAGTTTTAAGGATACATCCAACAAGACAGGTAATTTAGAGAGAGAGAGAGAGCGAGCATGTGGGACTATTAACTGTTGTGGCGCCTGGCAGTTTCTTCACCAATGATGGTTTCTCACCAATAGATGCTCCCACACATTTGAGAGTAATAGCTGCATAAATTTAAAAATCGGTTTGAATATCATGATTGCTAGTCCACGAAAGAAGAGAATAAAAAGTTATAATTTTCCTACACAGAAGTCCTGAAGACATTTTCTGAGGGCCTGCTGTTCCAACCAGTGGCTTTTCATCCTCAATTCCATGAAAAACCTTAAGCTCCACAAACCTGTAACAAAGCATAGGTTTATGAGAAGCGAAGGACTTAACTATTGATTCAAATATCAAGGAATAAGCATTCTTGGTGGTAAAGAATAATGGCATTAATGTCCCAAACCCAAGGCACTTGAATGCACGTATTCAAGGGGGCAGATGAATATCTTGTTGAAAGAGAGATTAGAAAGCGGAGAGATTGGAAAGCAAAGAAATTGGAGTGATTGGGAAAATTGTATTCGCATTCATTCAATTGATTCTGTACAATGAGTATATATATGGTTAAATACAAGAGACCAAATGATGCTGACTCATCATGAAAACAGCTGTAGCAAACTATCCAAAAACCATAACAACATTACAGTACACCCGGTCAATTAAGAAGTTTGGATAATTCAATGGCGTTTGAATTCACAATATCAAAAGACATCCAAAACCAGTCAGTTATGGTAATCCAAAACACTGAAACTCACAATGCAAGCAACAATTGCACAAGAAGTAATATGAGTCCACATAAACTGATATAGCCATTTTGCAAGCAACAATGCTCTTGCACAAGAAGTAAAGGATCTCAGGAACAACATAGAACAGAACAAAGGATCTCAGGAACAACATAGAACAGAACAAATAATTAGGACGCCACTCATGATCTTTTTTTCTTTTAAAACAGAATGTATAAAAGACTTAAAAGAGAACAAGATACCTGGGATGAAGCCACTGGATATCTTTGGTATTTCCTTGCATTTTTGACATAACTAATCGAACATACCTGCACTCCAAAATAATTACAGTTTAAAGAAAAGTAATTCACATATGAATAAATTGCTTTGCACATAGCTTACTGGGGTCCACTGATAACTAAATCATCTATTCCACAATCACCATCAAGACATCATAATTTTTTGAACCAGGATTTTAGTGAATGCTACCCTCCAATAACAACTTACTATACTCCTAAAACTATTGTAATTTTGTAACTGTAAGTTATGCAGTTTATGATCCCTTATCAGCTATCACCAATGTGTGCAGAGTACAATCGAAACTATATTAAGTTACTAACTGACTGTTTTAGTCAACTTTAAAAAAACAAAAGTAATCCACGCCTTTATGATGAAGATAAATATTCAGTCCGAGGCTCTCAGAAAGTTATGAATCACTGAATACAATAAATAGAACTGACATGCAGAGAGCCTGAACAGGTCCTGACGGCTAAAGAAGCAATCTCCTATCATGAATATGCAGGAAACCTACAGTTCTACATGAAAGTGTGCATTACTGGTGTAACAAAAGCTGAAGGTGACATGAGAAGAATGAGACATACCGAATCTCTGACTCTTTTCTTTCACGAGGACTTACCTGAAAGATATGTTAGACAATCATATCAGATTATTGTATATGCGAAGAAGAAAATCTGCAGCACTACTTCAAGGTCTACCTCACTCCCATTCAGCATTTCAACTTTAGCTAAACGGGCGACCAAAACAAATCTTGGGATACCATCTTGTCCAGGATCGGCCACTGGATTGTCAGAGAGCCTGATATCCTTTGGAAACAGAAAAATAAGCAAACCAGAAAATATGATGAGATAGGAAAGTAGTCAAATTACCCATAACTTAGATTTGTGCGAATTATCTTATGTCAAAGATCAAGAGGAGAAGCAGATTGATTTTACTAACACAAACTCCAATGAAAGAAAACCAGTAATTGATATGAACTAAAAAGTTGCCCATGTTGAAATACATGCACATCTAGGAGTCGTACCTCTCCCGTGTCTCCCCTTTGTTAAGTGTGAGGTTGTGAGTTCAACTCCTAAAAGAATAGGTAGTTGAACCCAACCTAAAGGGAGTATGTTAAGTTGTTCCTATTATTTTTAGTAAAAAATACGACTTTTCTCTTTGGTAGTAAACTTCAAATATTAGGCTCAAGTGGCATGTGAGGAGCAAGAGAAGAAACAATCCTACTATGGCAGCACATAGCTATTTCCTTTTTTTTCCCCTCAACCTGGTGTAGACCGACCTTGAGTATAAACTAAATACCAATCAAAAGAACCCAATATCTGTACATGGAAATTGAAGGACTTTGGAGGATATAGAATGGTAATGTAGCTAGAGGACATGGAATGAGTAGTAATGTATGTATAATCTACGGTGGCTCATTTTAATTCAATAAAGCGAGCACATGCAGGACCAGTTTCAATTTATATTGCAGAAAATGTGCAGCATGCATCTCTGTGAAAGTCACCAGGTCTAATAACACAAATGATGATTGTTCTCATACAAAATCTTACCACTAGTTGTGGGAATGAGTTTAGCGAGTCAACAGAAGCAAGATCCTCAATATTGTTGCCTCCTGAAGCATATAATGAATCAGCAATAAATCACTACATGAAGGTTGCATGAGTGCTATAGAAAAGTTGTGATAAGTTACCAAGAAGAAGGCAACGCAAATTTTGAAATGGCTTATGGTTTTTGTCGGGTGATTCATAACCATTTAGCAGTTCATGCATCAAGCCATCATCAGGATAAAAGACTCGGTTCAAATTGTTATTGCTCAAATGAAGCTGCTCCAAGCTGGATGAAGAAACCACTTTGTGAAAATTGTAAAGAAAATATGGCAACATCAGAACTGAGGAACATTTTGCCCTTGTAGATCTTTTTCTACTTAAAGCTCTATATTCCTCTAGTCTACCAATGAATATAGGTAGCATCGTGTGTGTGTGTGTATGTGTGTGTGTGTGGGGTTAGGATCTAGGGACAAACGCTTTTGATACACGTTTTTGTCTTACCTCAAAGATCATGTCTACTAAAAGTACCAAAATTCAAAATCATATGACCGTTGGATTAAATTTAGTGTGTCTTTGTAGAACCGTCTAATTTTTTGCAAGGATGATCCATGAACGAAGTACCAAAATATAGACCGTTCAGATCATTGAAATACATTACAAAGTAAGCCCTATAAAATGGGTGTCGAAAGCATGTCTCCACAAATCCTAACCCCACCCCCCCCCCCCAAAAACCCCACACACACATACATATTTTTCCAGAGGTTAATAACCTGAACTAGAATATTTACATATCCGGCCAACAGTTGTGAGATAGAGGTTTAATGCTTTCTTGGCAGCCTCTACATTACACCTGAACCACTTTTTTCAAGTTTAAGGACTGTACCCGCTCAGCCACCAGAAGATGACTTGTCCTATTATGATGTGGAGTGAGGAACTAGCCCAGCTAACCCCAAAGTAGCTCTTGCATAAACTTTTACTAAAAGGGGATCCTCGAAAAGATGTACATAAATCTATATTTCTCAAGGGGTGTGCTATCCGCTCACCCCTTTTTACTTCTCACACACCCCTTGTTAATTTTTGTCCGTTGATCTTCTTCAATTAATCCGATCCGACAGCCGAAAACCAAAAAGGTGTGGGAGAAGTAAAAAGGGGTGTGTGGATATCACACCCCTTTATCAATCACAAAGCCAAGACATCCTCAAACCTACCTTAAGTCTATATTCTTCATTTGTCAGAACCCGGACCAACCTAAGATTCATTCTCAACCCCAATCCCCCCAATTTTAATATACTTACTGTTGAGGAAGAAACAAGAAATTCTTACTAACCATTTTAGATGGGAAAGTTTCAAGATTTCGTTCCAATCAGCTATACAGTTGTCTTCCAGATTCAGAAGCCGCAAGTGATCAAATCCTTGAACTGCATAAGATGATGCAGGCTGGCAGATAAAGGAATCCAAAAGCAGAGTAATACAGTCAAAATGCATTGAGTTGTTTGAAATTTAAATAAACACAGTAATATAAAATATATATGCAATTAAGGAGAAAAGCTCTTGTAAAAGAAAAAAAATTGAAACCCCTAAATTTTTTAGGAGAAACAAAATGAATTACTGGCTTAAGATGAACCTACCATGGCATCTTTTCCATTCCTCTTTACAGATTTACCTATTCATTCATAACTTACCATTTCTATTTGATAAAGATTTAACAAGTATTTTATGCTTGATTCGAATTTTGCAAAGCCTGACTGAGCTTGTAATGTATTCAAACGTTTTTTTCATTTTGGTTTTCTTTTCAACTTTTACATTCTGAAAATAGCAGTGTCACATCATACACTATTCTCAGCTAGCTGATACTCAGTGAGTCAGTATACATACATACATCCTTGCATCTATACATACATACATACATATACATACATACATACATATATATATATATATATGCATGTATGTATGTGTGTGTGTGTGTGTGTGTGTGTGTATGTGTGTGTATAAATATATATATTTCAAAAAATCACCTGTAGGTGATTTTTCCTCTATACATAGTTATATATATATATATAACATAATTATAACACTCGTAAAGGATATGACAGCAACATAAAATACATGTATAATAACTTTTCTTTTTGTGCTTTAGATCAAGCTATTAAATGAACATAAAACAAGCATCAAGAGTTCAGATGGCATACCTCTATGGTGCTTATTTTATTCCCCATAAGATGTAGTTCTTCAATTTCTGGCAAAGAGTGTTTAAGTATTTCAACCTGTGACATTGCACAGACGATATGTAGCTATTGACATAGAAAAGCCAGTAGTAAAAATAAAAACAATAAGAGAAGGAATAGTAAAAGGAGAAATAAACTCAAAAAGGCACCTGGGTCCAGTTTATGCCAATGTTGTTTAACACTAAAATGCGAATACATTTTAAATGTGGCAACCCAACAATATCTTGTGCCATTGAATTGTAAGATAAATTGAGGGCAAAAAGATCTGGCAACTGTTCACAGATCGTGCTAACATCCTGCAAGCAAAGATTAACTCAAATACAGTAGGTTAGCCCGGGGCAACTTAAGAAACAAATCTTTTAAAGAAAATACATGCATGCAAACATATACACCAGGGAAAGTCTATTAAGTGAGACTGGAAAAGCGTACTAACAACCACGCACATGATCCAACAACAAATTGGCTGATTATCGAAAGAACTTAATAACAAGTCACTCAAATCAGTATAATTGCATTAAATGTATCTGTAAACAAACAAGTTGTATCCTCTTTTCAAAAGAATGTGCTTGCACACCAGAACTGATTTCCATTAAGGGGTAAAAGAAAGCTGGATTTGCATGATATTTTGCATATACCTTCCAATCTGAAATTAGATTTCCAGTCAAGTCAAGCTCCTTCAAATCTGCAATAAAAGCATAAACATCTTTCCAGTAAGTCTACATCTGTTGACGCACCCGCAAAGACAAGTATTCAGTCTGATTGTTTATTAGATTCTATTAAGAAAGAACAACTTAAGAAGATGGGACCAGGCTGGAACAAGAAACATATGGCAAACGGTAATAGGTGCGTGTGTATGGAATATTTCTAGGGAGGAAATAAATGCAAACCATCCGATCACAAGCCAATTTTAGAGAACCACTCATAAATCATGAAATAATTGGGACAAGGGTGGAACTGGAATAACCGGAAATGATGTATTTAGTTGTGGTGACCCTAAACACATAGGACTATTTCAAACCGAAAAACTAAAGCATATATTTTTGTGGAGCTCATATCTCAACCAAAAACAAACTTCCATTTGATTTCATAAGTAATTGGTCAACCAGTTAACCCTACAGTTTTGGGCTCCAAGGCTCCACAACTAATGCATTCGGATAAAGTATAGTTCTCACTGGATTGAATCGTTAGGTTCACAGTGGATACAACTAAAACTTACTTGGAACATTAGTACGAATATCACACGGGTCTCCAGGAGAGCTAACACCCAGAAAAGATACAGATGCACTCGTCAACTCCTCTAATCGACTTAGCTTGTCTTGAATTTTGTCTTTTCCAACAAGTTGAACATTGACACGCTTGTTGCTCGATGAAAGGACATACATTTCATCTACAACATAACAAGGAACAAAATAATCAGACAGAATTTCGACAGTATCTGTGAATGCTACCCATTTCGAGCAAACGGCACATAGCAAACATTGTCTCATTACCTATCATATCAACTAAAAATTCGTACTTGCAAAAATCGAGGGATGTTATACGAGTTAACAACTAATGTAATAGCATTAGCCGCTGTTTTCGGAGCAACGGAACAAGTGAGAAACGAAACTGATGAAAAAGAGACATACCCTCTTCTTCTTGAGTGGTGTCACCTCGGTATCGGAGCTGGATAGCTTGCAGCAACGTAATGCCAGAGCTGAGATTCTGGGACCGAACAAAGGACCCGGATCGTTCGGAGGTTGCCTGGAAGTAACGAACCCCGTTGATGGAGCCATCGTGCTTGCCCTCTCCGCTGTCCCAATCGACTCCGACCCATGTGCCCGAATAGCCTTGGACAGGCCCCAAGTACCTGACAGTCCCAATTCGACGGGGATCGCCCGCTGAGTGGACTCGCTGCCCGAGTCTGAAATCGGGCATTTTCTTGTCTTTGTTTTTTTTGCAATGTGTTGTGTTTGTAATCGATCTCGATTTCAATTTTGATACTTGTCTGTCAATGGCTATTCGCTGTTTGGTTTCTAGGAAAGTGAGGAAAAGTGAGGGAAAGTTGAATATCAGGTCCTCGACAAACCAACAAAGTATAAATTTTTATAATTTTATTAAGTAATCGAAATACGAATACATAACTTCCGGCCCCCGGAAGAAATACGACTACTTGACCTAAAAGGTTACATTGTAAATGACTTCTTTTATGAACAAATGTAAGCACTACATGAAAACTAAAGCAAAACCTAAATCTTTAACGGGCAAAAAACTCTTATATTATTGGTCCACAAGAAAACCTTAAATACTAATAAAATAAATAACCAATTTCCAACAAACTCATGGCGACACATCATGAGTTTGTCTACAAACAAATGCGGATACAAGCTTCGTTAGGCGAACACTGCAAAACAAGCGAGCGAGCAAGTAAACAAGCGAGTGAGCAATTCAAGCGAGTAAACAAGTGACCAATTCTAGCAAATAGGCAATCCAACTTATAATCAAGTACACAACGTCACTCGAACAGTCACTGTATAAGCACTCGAGGGATCATAATTGACTTTTTAATAAAAAAGTGTAGACTTCAACCAAACAATGTAGGCATAGTCCAACAGTAAGCCCATGTGGGCCTCAGTCATAACCAAATCAAGTGTCTTATTTTCCTCATTTTTCTTTCCCTTATCCTTTTTTTTTTGGAGAAACTTGAAATGCATTCCACAACAAGGCAAAAGCCAAAGTACAACAGCAAAGCCATAAAAGGCTAACAAGATTAACAAAATAAACAGGAGTAGAGAACACAAGGAGACGCTGACACGCCCGACCCCGATATCCTCTAGACACCAGGGTAGGCATGTGCTGGGCGACACCCAAAGGTAATGAAGCCATACTAACATGCATGAGAACTATGAAGAAAGAACAAACATAAATAAAACTTGTAAATTTAACTATAATGAATATGCAATTGTGGAACGTGTTCAAAGCATATAGCTAAACTAGAACATTGAAGAAGGAATAATATACAAATGTACGAACAAAGGAAATGGGTCCCACATCGAGAGGACTTGAAGCTACCGATACGGGAGTGCCTTGATGCCAGAATTGTACGCCTCGATTATAAGTTCTGAGGGGTGTAAAACAAAACATGAGTGGACCAATTTATATATATGTAATACTAAAACAGTTAACCTCCAGTTTAAAAAACTCATATAGCATAATAAGTAATAAGTTATTCGAAAACCCTAGCATTTAGTAAAACATATATCATATATAATGTGCTTAGTAGTAGTATCTCAAAGGCATATATATATATATATATATATATATATATATATATATATATCCCAAAGGCTCTTCATCTTCCGCCCGTAGGCATATATAAATATCTTCCTTCTTCATTCGCCCGAAGGCCCTACATCACCCGACCGAAGCCATTCATAAGTATCATTAGCCCATAGGTCTTACATCATCCGACCGAAGCCATTTAATAATATCATTCGCCCGTAGGCATATATATAAGCATAGAAAATCATGAACATAATATTTCCAACATATATCTCATCGGAGCTCAATAGCTCAAACATCATATCATAAATCATATTCATAGTATATAATCATAAATCTTCCAAAGTACTTAAATCTGATAAAGCATGATATTTCAATAATCATAAATCCAATTTACTCATAAACGTTTCTTAAAACATAATCATAAAATCATACTTTTCATGTATGCATTTCTAGTAGTAAAATAATGCATTTTGGAAGGGGTCTACTCATAGATATTCCGTCATCGAGGAGCTATGCAACTAGCGAGGACGAAAACGCCACAAACAAATGCACCTAAGCACATAAAGGGGCCGATTAATAAAACTAAGGGGGGACCTGGTCCCCCCACGCGCCGCCACACACACTGCCACTGGGCATTGCCCCGGGAGGCCACGCGCCACCACACCCACCACCATATGCCGAGTAGAGTCACCGAAAAGTTGGCCGGAAAAGTCGTCGGCTCCGCCGTGGACAACGGAGACGCGCGTGCTCCACGCTCCAACCATGGAACTGGGTATTTAACTCGGGTCGGGTCGAATCCAGGTTGGATCCTGTTTAGATCTGGGTTCTAGGTTGCTGGGTTGGGCCTGGTTTATTGAGTGGGGCCTAGGTTAAAGGGTTGAGCCCAGTTTCTGGGTTTGGGCTCGAAGCTAGGTTTTGGGCTAGGTTCGGATCCGGTTTTGGTTTCGGGTCAAGTCAACCCGATTTCAGGCTGTGGGTTCGGTCAGAAACTAAGCAACATTTCTCGAGCTCCGTTCAAGCTCATTTCTACACCATTTGCAATGATTCAAAAGCCAAAATGAAGCTTAAGATGACAGGAAGAGATTCGTACCAATTTGGAGCCGTGTCATGGTCGGAGTTGGTCAAAAAATGGCCTGCAAGTCACAGCATTCCTCCCCGGAATCTGGGGAAGTTTCCCCGAGTTGTTTTTTGTGTCCAACAGCCACCTAAACTACTCAAAATCAGCCCAAATTCACTTTTAAACCCAAACCAAAAGATTCTAAGGCTTATCTACATTGAGGGTTAGCCAAAGAAGGAAGTGAATAGTGGCACAGCCACGGTGCAGCGAGATACAGGGAAGTTGAGGGTGTCATTCCTTCATTCCATGTTTCGCGAAACTTGCAGGGCCAAAGGGTGATGGTGGTGAATGGTTCGTTGTCGTCGTCATATGGGCATGTGTGTGGTGCTCGGGGGAGGGGAAGGTGCAGAGACGAAGCTAAGAGGAAAGAAAAGAGAGAAAGAGATAAGAGTGTTATGAGATTCTCGAGGAAAGATGTGAGGAAAGAAAGGAGAAATGAAAGGGAAAATGGGCCGGGGGACCAAATTGTAAGGGTAGGCCCTACATGGTACACCAATTAAGACCCAAAAGCAACATAACAAAATATCTCCCAACCAAAGTGAAATTACAACTTTACCCTTGTTCCAAAATCTGTAAAATTAGAGACGGGTTGTTACAGATGCCAACGCTATAAACCAAGCGTCATTCCCTACTCCAACAAACTGCCTAAGAAGGAGAACATGGTAATCCATCATTGTTTAAGATTCTAACCAACAAAGATGGTGGTCTGTCAAGCCAACATTCCTCGCTCATCTATGTACCATTATAGGTTGCGACAAGATGTACCACTTCATTCCCTAACCTTGGCAGCCAAAACTAGTTGCAAATTTGGAAAGATTTTCCAATATCCAAAATACGATTGATAATGGGAAAAATCTTCCAGCTACAATTTTCTTTTCCTTCATTAAGAGACGAAGTTATTTGTTTTGAGTCAAACTCCACAATTATGCAAGGATAATTCCTTTGCTTTGTACTTAGACAACCTTGAAGCACTGCCATAGCCTTCACCATCTAGCATTCGAAGCACGTACTTCCTTTCTTTCAATGCTCTAACATCTTCCTTGTGAGTCTCTAATCACAATTCCCACATATCCTTTGTTTCTCTTGGGTTTCCAACTTGCATCAACGTTCACTTTTATCATTTAAGAAGTGTGAGGAGACCAGGGTGTCACTCGCCTTTGATTTTCCATTCTCGAGGATTGCTGGTCACTAATCAAATCATTCGCCTTTCAGAAAATCGTGCTTGCACAAGTGATAACATGAATGGTTTGAGAAGGAGATGGACTTTGATGATTAAAAATAGCTTTACACCGAGCTTTCTATATATGCCAATACGTGAAAGACATTAATGTTATAGCTCTCTTCTTATCCTTTTTTGTTGCATAGTTCTTTTTAGCATTTTCACCAACCAAGCATTGATATTTGTCACAGAACATCTATCAATCTTGTAACCAAGCGGACTTCCAAACCAAACTAGCTATACCCATAGACACGCAAGGAGCATGTGCTCCGTTATCTCCTCATATTCATTCACTACAAGAAAAATGAGCTTTGGGTACAAAATAAAGGGCACAATTGAGAATTTTGTGTCAGTTTGACCACCAAAAAGCTTAAACAATTCTCATTCCATAGAGGGCACCATCTATTGTGCCCAATGTTAAAAAAAGCAGACACAAAACAGTAATGGGCACGGAAATCGTGTCGAGTGGGATCACATGACAACTTTTTTACTGAAAACGGGCACAAAAAATATTTTGTGTCTATAAAAATTATTTGTCAAAGGCACTATATGTTCTCTCTCGTTTGTCTTTACCTCCACTAGCACACCAATAATTAAAATTTATAAAATTGTGGTAAATAATGGTATGAAGCTGTTTATTACCGTGCAATATTTTAGCCTCAAAATAAGTTAGCAATAATGTTGTTCAAATTTGTTTTTCCCAAAAGCTGAACCTCAGATCTCTCACTTACAAGTAAAGAAGAATACCACTACACCATAGTACTAAGTGACATGTTTTAGATTTACAAAGGATCATTTCCAGGTGCAATGAATGTTTGTTAGATTCGTATCTTTTTGAATTGCTTTTTGGATTGTTATCTTCTTGCAGGTTTGTTTTTTATACTTGGTGATATGGTTTTTGGTTTTAAAGTCCTACCTGCAGTGACACATAACCAACAATTGTGCCCTTAGGGTTGGTCTCTGTGCAAAAGTTAGTTGGTCTTCAGATAGACAAATGAGTTAATAATTGTAGATTCCTTTTTATGACACTAATGATAGAAATTGTGTCCACTAAATATTAATAAATAATAAATCACTCTACTTCTCATTGGGTCTTCAAATAGAGAATATATTTTAATAATTATAAATTCCTCTTTTCTGACACAAATGTTAGAAATTGTGTCCAGTAAATATTAATAAATAATAAATACTCTATAGCAAAAGAATATGTTGGCACAATTATGGATTTGTGCCTTTATTCTACTATAAAACGTCCACACACTCCCTTACTAATTTGTATATGGAAATTAAGAAGGTTGCTTCATACACATATGTTTCTTTTGAATTTGAGCAAGTTCTACATCATTGACAATGGCGGACAGGCGACGTCGTGGAGTTAGAATTGGAACTGAATCTCCAGCATCACATTCGTATATTGCTTCCAACATTACAACAGAAAATTCCACAACGAATCCTCCAGTTCAACGTCCACGACAACCTGTTAATGCCGGGCGCATGCCTCGTCCTTTTAATAATCAGTACATTCTTACTACTTTTGTTGATGGTCGCCTTGGCTACGCATTACCCTTCAATAACGGATGCGTACGCGCACCTTAAGGACGTGTATTGCCAGCATGGGCAAACCCAGGTAGGACAGAACAATATCCTATCAATTTGGTTTCTGCTGAAACAACAACTGAACAGTCTACCAATTCTGTCGTTATTATTGAAGAACCACGCACTTATCAAGCACAAATTCGTCGTAGAGGTCTGTCTGTCCCACAGTTGAGCTCACGAAATATGCAGAATGTTACCGTTGAGATTTTAAGCAGCGATGACGAGGACAATTAATATATTTTGTATTATGTTATATTTCACTGGTGTACTATGAAAATATAACTATCTTATGCTATGCTGGACTCCTCTTGGGTCCTTTTATCAACTTATGTCGTATTCCAATATAATAATGTTTTCTTTCTAATTAGCCCATGTAGATTTACTCCTAGTATATATTTTTTTAGGTTATAATTATGTTTCTCGTCCACTTCATACCGCAGAATTCAGTGAATTCACAGTGTGGCAACACAAAGGTTATGAGACATTATCTACATACTAAAACCCGATGGAAAAGTACTGTTTACCAGCAGTAAAATGATGGAATTGCCCTCAGTTAGCTTCACTTGCGCAGTTGTTTTTCCGTCTTGGCACAGTGAAATTATGCATTTGTCCACCTTGGCCACGCGTCCATCATCGTCGGAACCTCTACTTCGACTGCAGCTTCTCGATTTTTCCATCCGTTTCTAGTTCTCTCTTTCGAAAATCTCTGCTTCCATTGCTCTGAACTTGCCTTCTATCACTCTTAAACGCCGGGTGAGCTATCTACCACCCCCTCTCTACCTTCTTCTTCTTCCTTCGCTTCTCCCTGTGCAAATCTGAGAGACGCCTACACAATTGCTTCACCGGGTCCTCTCAGCATAAATTAGTTTTTATATTGCTCTTAAATCCTAATCTCTCTCTCCTCTCTCTAAAATCCATCTGAAAAAGGTATAATGGGTATTGTTTCTGTTTGCAGGTTGTACTCGGCGAAGTCTGTGAAGGACCAATAAATGGATTCGAAGATGAACCAAGTCAAGGGACACGGAGGTCAGAATATCGGAGCTATAAATTGGCTGCCTTGAAATTTTTTTATTTAATTAATTTCAACAGGTATCTAAGAAATTCTTAGTATGAATAGTGTCTGGGTTGACTCTTTGAGCATCTTGATTTTTTATATTAAATGATCTTTTAATATTTATATTGGAATTGGTTACTTATTCTTTTTTCCAGATTAGAGATTTTAATCTTCTGCACTTTAAATTTAAAGCACGCTGTATTACAGAGCATACAATTCCTTGCTGGCTATTAGGTTTGTTATTTGTTTAGTTCATTGTTCCACTTTTTTAGTTGAGGGTTATTTTTTATTTGACTTAAATTTGATTTTTGAAACGGTACCTGCTGCTGCTAATGAAGATTTTTCAAGAGGGTTTTGCCTTTCTGAAGAGTTACTTTCAAGGATAAAAATGAGTGTTCCAAAGAAAGCTAGGAGTTCTGGTGATGAAATTAAATTTATCTTCTTGGTAAGGAGTCTTCATTCATTTGGTTTTTAAGATGATAAAAAGTTATTTGTTTTCTTACTTGGTCTTTTGCCAAGGGATTGAGTTGCTTTTATGACAGAGACATTTCAGAAGAGGATGAGGCTTTCCATGTAAGATAGAGATGTTACAAAACTATAAATGGATGTCTAATTATCTAATTAGGTTCAGTTTGTATTTAATACATATAATAGTATTGATAGGTCTGGAGTACTTTCTCTGCATGCTTAGGGTAAATTGTTTGCCTATTCTGGGAGCAACAATTTGCAATGTGCTGTGAATGTTTGTAGATGTGCTTCAACGTTGGGGTCAATTAATTTCTAAACTCATGATTACATTGACTATCCTAATAGCTAGGTATAATGCGAAAGAGTGTAGCCTTAACCACACTTGTGCATAATGTTGTTTTTACTAACCGAAGCAACTGCTGACAGTGTTGTAAACTTTGCTTCTTCCTTTATTCTTTCAACGTTTAGGATTAATTGGTTGTTTTTATACAATCAAAAGTTGGTCATGAAACATGAGTGATACGTTTCTATACAAGTTTCGGTGGGGCACCAATAGAAAACAAATTTTCTGTTTGTGTAGCAATGTAGTTGAAGGCTACCATATTTTTTGTTTATGTTGAGCAAAACTATGATCAGCATCAGCTATATCCGTATAAAACAAATCATCCATCGTGTCCTTATTTGTTATGCTACTTTTTTTACAGGTTCATAGAAAACAAATTGATCGCTTTCACTTTTGAAAGCAACTAAACTCTTTTACCAAATCAAAATCTCTTTTTCAAGTTTTAATATTTCACTGTAGTTTTTTGTTTTTGCCTTTTTGAATGGGTAGTATTGTTATTTTGGAGGCTTGCTACTTGACTGCATTTATACATTGTTGTACTAACAAAATATAAATTTTCAATTTCATATCGAAATGAGTATATTTCCAACCCAAAGTATAGGTCCATTTGAAGCTAGCAAAACATTTATAGTTTGTGTTAGCAAAATGTGTAGACAAAAAGTTTTCAAATCTAATATTCAGTTTTCTCATTTGCACTGCATATGGGTTGATGCATTGGTAAGAAAAATATCTACTTACACTATTCAAATGTAAATATTAGTTAACTAATTTTTTAGTTGAATGACTGTTTGGATGCATAAAGATGTTTTTTGTTCAAATGTCCTTTTGAATGGATAATCAAATCGATATAGATTATTTTTTTTATCCTTTACTTTATCAGTTTATCTTACTTATTTGAGCTAAACGCAAATCTCAATGTTGCATAGTTAAGCCTTGAAATTAGAACACAATTTCTTTACATGAAACTGAAGTTTTCTCTAATTGAGAACTCTCTTTTTGTTCAAATTGCATTACAAATTTTGTGTTTTTTCTTTTTCTTTTAACAGGTGGACTTAAAGAGATAAAGTATGCAGGAGATTGGTAGGATCCAACATATAAGAGGTAGAGGACAACTCTTTGTGATCTTTTTGTTAGTAAATTTTGGTGGAAACATTGTTTAGTATAAACCTTATCACAATACAATAGGAAGATGGATTAGAGAGGTGTTGATTTGATTTTCTTTTTACTTTAGCAATTCCGGATAATGATCATGAATGTTGGTGATATTGCATCTCTTTTATTTATTTATTTTATACTACGATTATGGATATTGTTTATTTCAAGCATGTTATTGTGATAGCTAAATGGTTCATATTGCAGAACATGCTTAAAAAATTATAGCTTTAACTGATCACTTGCAGTAACTCCCGTTGTATTCTGTTTGCTTTTGTTGCTGCCGGTCTGCAAGTAAATCTTCACTTTCCATATAAAGTTTGCATTTTTCTATTCCTGACACAATTATTTGACACTAAGTTTTCTTTCAAGTTGGTGTGTGAGTGCATTTTCCACTGATCTTTCTGTCGAACTCTCATTGAGTTCCGATTTTGATCACAATATTCTTTGAATTTTCTCCTCTGTCCTATGTCGTATTCCACTTATTTCAACTTCCAATTTCTCCACATTAAATGTTCATTGTTTAAGGGCATTGTTCTAATATTATATTATTTTACCAAAATTGTAGACAGTATACTTCTTCTAACACATGCATGCTCTGATTTCCTTGGTAGGTCATATTTTTCACTTTCTGGATGTGCAAAGTTTGGATAGTACACATCACCGGGCCAAACCTTTCTCAGGTAAGGAATTACATCGCGTTTGTTGAAAATATCTGCTTCCTTTCCTCTGATGTATGTATATGCATGATGTATGTGTGTGATTTTAGATTGTAATGTATCACAAATTTGTGGCATGAAAATTGATATTTGTAGACTTACCCTTTATTTTTTGGCTGTGATGGGGGAAAGGAAAATAAAATTTCAAAGATTGATACTTTTATGTGATTTCTTGGCTCTTTTTTTCATATGATTTTCATTGTATGTGTGCCAGTGTATGTCTCTTCTTGAAAAATGCATGTTGAAAATGGGAGATTTTTGGACATTGACATGTTTAGAAGTCAGGTTTTCTTAATGAAGATACTCTTATGATTTGTTTGTAATTTGTTTTGCAAATGGGTAGGAATGTCATTCTAAAAGGATATTGGCAGGAGGGGGTGGAATGTCATTCTAAGATATATATATCAGCAGCAAGGGTGTGGAAGCTCACACGCTCAGATTTCAACGCGTTTCGAAGGTGGAAATGACAAGAATGTGCAGTGTGGACCTCCAATTTCTAGTGCTATGATGCATGAGGACTGCCAAAGTGAGAATACTGGTTAGTTGTCATCAAGCAGCCCTTGTAGATGTGTATTTTGTTTATATATTGCTAGTTTAACCATTAGTACGTTTGACTTGGGGATACAAGCTTGGATATGTTATATTTTGTTGTATATAGAGAATCCCGGGTATGTCCAGCATAGGATAACATGTATTTTTTGGTTTAACATTTGGATGGGTTGTATTGTTAGGTTGCATGAATCGGTCTTAGCCGAGAACATGGGTTATGTAATATATTAACTTCACTATTTTAGTGCTAATGTTGATTTATGTTTAGTTTGTAATGGATGATTTGTAAGTTTCTAAATTTAGGTGGAAATTAGGTTCTATGAGCAACCTGATGATTTCCATGTTTAAATAAAAATATCCAATTATGCCACAAATTTTTAATTGTGCTGGAGTTTTATTGTATTTATTAAAATATAATAGTGGCACAATTTTAAAGTTGTGCCCTTGCTTTAACATTTATACAGCAATCTAAGCCTTTAAAATAGCAATTGTGCCCATCTTACACCATACATTCAGTAGCCTTTATTAGAGGTAAGACACAACAAGGGTTGTATTTGTGCTTAGCTTTGGGCACAAAACATCATATTGTGTGCTATAAGTAATGGTGACGCCCATAGAGGGCACAGATACAAACTTAGTTGCTGCACTGTTGCTATTGGTCTATGAGCACAAATGTTGGTGCTTTTTGGCCTCAAAAGGCACATATAATTTTTTGTGTGCAGTGCTCATTTTTTTTGTAGTGATTGCAAATTGGACATAACGGTGATGGGGCACACTTCTTAAATAAGTTTGCCTGCGTTGCAATTGCCCATTTTGCTACTCTCCAAAGAAAATTTCTAATTTTTGGTGGAGCCTCAAGACCCCAAATACCCTTCCACACTAAAAGATCAGTCATACATGAAGAGGATGGACACTGATTCTGAAGCCTCCTTTCTTGTTTCGAATCCATCTATATCCCGACTTCATGGAAAAAATTTCCTTTCTTATCCATTGGTCATACCAATCTGCCATTAGTTCCAGAATCCCTTGTATTTGTTGCTGTAATTGCCAAGCACTTCTCTTCCGAAATTAAATTCTGAATAGAGTCTAAACACCAATTTCTAATGTCCTCCTAAATAATTGATGCCACATTCTGATTTTTATCAATACAAACTTCATTTAAAGGATTCAGATGTCCATTTGTAATCTCTGGCAACCATTTATCAATCCACAACTTGGTTTGACGTCCACTCATGACCTGCCAATGGGCACCTTCCAGAAGAATCTCCCTACCTTCCAATAAGCTTAACCAAATCCAAGATGCACGCCCACCTTCAAGCTTTGTTCTTGGGACTTCCTTCAATCACGGAAACAACCTTACATTTTTTTCCCTTTTTTTTTTCTTTTTTATTTTTTTTTTCTATTTCCTTTTGGGTGAACGAGTGCAACAATTGTAAGACCAATAACATACGAACAAGAATTTCAAAACTAGCAGAATTAGCAGAACTAAGGCGATTCAATTCTCGATTATGAGGGACAACAGAGACAACAACTATGGATCTAAGTACGGGTGTAAGTGGGTTTGATTCATGGTGCAACGACGTGCAGGTCAGAAACAGTGGCAATGGTCCAAGGTCAAGACAAAATTAATCCAAGTTTGTAGTTCACGGGTTTGGGTTTCATCAAAACTAGTGGCGGGTTGTGGTCGAGCAGCAGCGGTGGTGAATGGTTAAGTCGAGTATGGCCAAATGCGGGAGAGAAGGTGGTGCTTGTGGGGAGGCAAGGTAGTTCTACCAGGCATGAGATGGTGGTGGATTCTAGGGATAGGAACAGCAGTAAGTGACGAGGTGAGGCAGCAGGCAGGGTCGAATCTGGGTCAACGTGACTTTGGCAGCTTGGTGCAACAAAGCTTCAATTTTTTTTTCTTTCAAACTACAAAACCCTAACCTAAGTGACAACAAAAAAACAAACCATAACAAATAAGAGAATGTGATAAGAAAAACAAACTAGCTACCAAAAGCAAATTCAACCCCCGATGATCAAACTTGCTTTGATACCAAGTTGAATATCAAAGTGTGCCACTAACAAACGAACAAATTAAGTATACACTAACATAATTTTATTAAGTGAACGAAAGATTGTCATGACGACTACATTACCTGAGTGGCTACATTGTATATGACTTCTTTTCATGAACAAACACAAGCACTACTATATATAGTGAAAACTAAAGCAAAACCCTAATCTTTAACGAGTACGAAACTCTAATATCATTAGCCCACAAGAAAACCTTAAATAATAGTAATATATATAACTAATTTCCAACATGAAACACTCTACTCTACCTTTTGTTTATTGGAAATGTTTAGAACAATTTGACTGAAATGAACTTTCATAGAAAATACAACACAAGTAAAGATTTCTCTTTGCTGATACAACAAAAGAAAAAGGGGTAAATTACACTTTACCTCCTCAAGTTTGAGGTCTATTGCAACCTCATACAACATCTTCAAAAAATTTCACTTTCATATCTCACGTACTATTTTATTTCAATATAATACCTCCGTTACATTTTCCATTCATTGATACGTTAAAAGTTAACGTGGCAGTAATGGACCCCACCACGTGGCCCAATTCTCCCTCCAAAACTTGCACACGTAGAATTTAATAATCCACATAGACTGACAACATGGCAAATTTAAAATTAAAAAATTTATTGAATTTCTAACCCTGTATTCCCATCCTAGTAACCAACACAACCTCACTATCATCGAGCACACCATTCCCAAACCTAAAATCAAGAAGCTTGAAATTCTGGTAACCATAGCCCTGTCAGTGAAACCCTACTTCTGTCGCAAAACCTTATTTCCATTACTCACTAGTCGTCGATTCCCTATCGCCATCGTACCCACTACCCATAACAACTCAAAAACCGTGACCTGCAACCCATAATCCACAACCCACAACCCACAACCAACCCCTGATTGCATTGATAATCTAGTGCTTCGAAGTGAAGGATTCAAAGGCTGAAAATGACCTAGGAAATGAGGGAGGATGTAATATCCCGAAAATTTTAGGTGGTGATTAAGAGTGGATTACTTGTGGCCATTGTTAGCAAAATAAATTTGCCTTATTTGAGGCTTGTATCAATTGGCCTTTGGTCCATTAAATGATCTTTTACTTTTGAGACCAACCCTTGGATAGAGAAGAAGAAGAAGAAGAAGAAGAAGAAGAAGAAGAAGAAGAAGAAGAAAAATTTTAGGTGGTGATTAAGAGTGGATTACTTGTGGCCATTGTTAGCAAAATAAATTTGCCTTATTTGAGGCTTGTATCAATTGGCCTTTGGTCCATTAAATGATCTTTTACTTTTGAGACCAACCCTTGGATAGAGAAGAAGAAGAAGAAGAAGAAGAAGAAGAAGAAGAAGAAGAAGAAGAAGAAGAAGAAGAAGAAGAAGAAGAAGAAGAAGAAGAAGAAGAAGAGGCTTGTATCAATTGGCCTTTGGTCCATTAAATGATCTTTTACTTTTGAGACCAACCCTTGGTCCATTAAATGATCTTTTACTTTTGAGACCAACCCTTGGATAGAGAAGAAGAAGAAGAAGAAGAAGAAGAAGAAGAAGAAGAAGAAGAAGAAGAAGAAGGGATGCTTGCATTAATAAGTAGAGAAAAAAGGGGAAGGGGCTTTCTAGAGAGGAAGGGGGTTGAAGAAGAAGAAGAAGGGATGCTTGCATTAATAAGTAGAGAAAAAAGGGGAAGGGGCTTTCTAGAGGGGAAGGGGCTTTCTAGAAACCCTCTTTCTTACTGCTCTATTCTCCAACCAACAGTGAGAAGGCTTTTTTAGTTCTTTTGGTTGCCAAATTCTCAGGAAGAAGAATTTAATATCCGGTTGTTTTTCTTGTGAAGATTAGGATAAGTGAGGATCCTTCCTTTGTCTCCACATAGAGGTATATATTTCTTAGAAGAAGAAGAAGAAGAAGAAGAAGAAGGGATGCTTGCATTAATAAGTAGAGAAAAAAGGGGAAGGGGCTTTCTAGAGAGGAAGGGGGTTGAAGAAGAAGAAGAAGGGATGCTTGCATTAATAAGTAGAGAAAAAAGGGGAAGGGGCTTTCTAGAGGGGAAGGGGCTTTCTAGAAACCCTCTTTCTTACTGCTCTATTCTCCAACCAACAGTGAGAAGGCTTTTTTAGTTCTTTTGGTTGCCAAATTCTCAGGAAGAAGAATTTAATATCCGGTTGTTTTTCTTGTGAAGATTAGGATAAGTGAGGATCCTTCCTTTGTCTCCACATAGAGGTATATATTTCTTACTTTTGAAATCTAATTGTTATTTGGGTTGTTAACCCATGAATTAGATTGGGTGGGAGTAGGAAAATTTAAAGTATCATATTTCATGTTAGTTTTAAAGATGAGCACCAAGTGTTTGGTTAAAGTCCCCAATTAACCTAGAATTAGGGTTTGTTGTTTGGTCTTTTGTGCAAGCAGAGTGTGATGATTTTTCTTACTTATAGTTATAGATAAGGAAGAGAAGGACAAGGTGACAACTGAACAAGTCGACGAACATCATGGGAAAGAAGTGAAGCAAATGTTTCTCTATGGTTTGATTTCTAATGATTTTAATCTTCTTTCTACAACTTTGGTGAGTTTAAAGTAATTGCAAAGGTCTGTCAAGATTTCGTTTTTAACATACATGCCTTTTATGTTACTCATTATGAGATTTTGAAGCATGTTGAGATGAACGTTTGATTTTGAAAGTAGATGGAAAGTAGTATAATACCTATGCAGTTAAGAAGGTTGAGAAATGTATGAATGGGCACAATGACCCAATGTTCCCCGGGGAAAAGCTCCATATGTGGGTTGCAAGAATGAGTTATCAAGTGATAAATACGTGTGATATGTATATTGGCCAGGTATATTATGGATCTTTCCAATCTGCTAGTCACTTGTTTGGGTTAAAAGAAAATCTTCATGATTAGTTATGCTATTGTTTCTTTAAATGATAATGGCTATGTTGTCCTTATGACAAAAGAAGTGCTTTTGAACTGTGTGTTGTACCGTGTTGCTATCAAAACTATTAATGCTCTGAAACTTTGGTTTTCCTACCATATGTTACTTCCAAGCATTTTTTAGCATAATTTTGTTGTTGGATTACATAGTAGTGGATGTAAATGGTTTTGAATCACTCTTATCATTTCTCGGCATGCACAGAAATTTTAAATGACTACGGACTTACCGAAAAAACCTACTAGGCATTTTATGCTCACCTGTTTTTCTAAAAATGTATTTTCAAGTGGTGTAGGGTTAACTAGCTGAATTTTGAGTTGCAGCTCTAGTGTGGACTAGTAGAAGGGAGTCCAGACGTATATCTTTGGGGTGAGCTGCCAAAGTATTTGTATAGTTAGTCTTAATCTGTAAATGATCCTTTTGTTGCGTAGTAGACTAAGAAGACGTAGGCCTCAATGGGTTAGTGTTTCTACTTACCTGGGCAATGAAAACCATGTATTTATGATCACTTGTCTTTTGGCTTGTATAAATTATGCTCATGTGCACTTTCATCTAATGACCTAAACGTGTTTTTCTTGTACGCAAGAAGCCTTGAAGTTCTTTCGTGAACTCTTTATGATCTGTAAGGCTTAACGAATTGCCTTTGAAAGACCATTATGGACTTGGTTGTATTTAAATTTGGGGGTGTTTATTTACTACTTAGGTTGCATCTTGCAAAATTTCAAATTTTTACCCTTTGGAACATAACTTTATTTCCAAAGTGACTTGATACTGCTGAAATTTGTTTTTTTTAAAAAAAAAAAAAAACAGCAGCATGCCTGTTTTAGATTTAAATTTTCCTATACTTCCCGAACTCGAAAATCCATGAAATCTTTAACACAACTTAGTTTTATGTGTCTACTTTGGATCTGGAAATTTTCATATTTTTTGGTTAAACAAGTTATTTTCAATGAATTTTACGGTACAGGTCGTTTCTACAGTTTGTATTACCACAATAAATCTTTGACTAAATCTTAAGCTAATATTTGTTTTACACCCTTAAACAACCACTTTGTTCTATTTATTTCTCTTAATTTCACACCTCGAGATTTAAGGTGTGATACAGGATCCGTTGGATCCATTCCCAACATACGGTTAATGCTTTTTGGTTTCTTTATTTTGTATTGTTTGATAATGCTTGGACTGTTCGAAAATGTTGGGGACCTGAAATTGTTTGTACTTTGTAATTTTGGATCTATATTTCCTATTTTTAAACTGCTTTGTTCGAAAATGGTGGGGAACTGAAAATTGCTTGTTGTTGTCAGTTAATGGAGGACTTTTGTCTTTGTTTAATTATGTTGGAAAAAAGATTGTGGGTTATGTAAGTTTGGCAGTGCTTTGTTTATACCCTTATCTGTGCCTTTTGTGTATGATGCTTTATTTATGCCTTTATCTGTGCCTTTAGCTATGCCTTTATTTGGGACACTACATTGTCATTTGTGGTGTGCCTTTATCTGTGAATTGTTTTGTGGTCCTGGGTCCTAAATTTTGAGTTTCATCACTTTAAAATAGGATTTTTTTTATGCAGAAATTTGGGTTTCATCAATTTATAACAGGGTTTTTTTATGCTGCAATTTCAAGGAACAATGAACTATTCATAATCAAAATATATCATGGTGGAGAACTCAGTGACGACTTCTATGTTGGAGGGAAGGTGGATTTCTTTGACTTCTGTGCCAAAGATTTCATGCCATTGGTCGAAGTTGACAATATGGTTGAGGAACTAGGATATGGAAATGTCATCATGAGTTACTAGTATAAGATCCCAAGGATGGAAATTCGAAATGGGTTGAAGCCTTTGATGACAAATTTCAATGTTATCAACATGTGCAAATTTGTGCCAAACCACACTGTGATTGATGTGTATATTGAGAAGACAACAACTGAATAATGTGCCTCTTAAGAGATGGAGTTTATTGAGTCATTTGAACCAGTTGATCAAAGTTGTGTAGTTATTGAAGAAATTAATGGTGATGAGGATGACCAGTGCAAGTTAATAGAGGAAATGCCAGTGCAAGTGAATAGAGGAAAGGCTAAGCTAGCCTTAGAATATCCAGTTAGTGGCCTTGGTGGTGATTTTAGTGTGCCTTCCCAATGTGTGACTTAAACTGTTGGAGTGGCTGAAGATCCACTAATGTGGTTGCTAATGAAATAGTTAGTGATGATTTTGTGGCTGACGAAGGAATGGGTGAAGGAGTGCCTAATGAAATGTGGCTGATAAAGGAGTGCCTGATGAAAAGGTGAAGGATGAAGGAGTGGATGATGAAGGAATGCCTGATGAAAAGGTAGCTGATAAAGGAATGGATGATGAAGGGGTGGATGATGAAGAAATGGCTGATGTGAGTGATGAATGAGTTGAAGAAGAAGATGAGAATGATAGTGACTTTATAAAAAAAAGAATTTCCTGCTGATGAAGATCACTTAGAGTTTATGAAGTTTGTAGATGATCATGTGGATGCACATGAGGATGCAATATTGGTTGGCATTAGGGAACAAAATAACCCACAGTTAGGGGAGGGATCTCGGCAATAAAGGGAAGGATTTGAAGAAAAGATTGATGTAAATGTTGTTGGTAAGCCAGATTACAATTCGGATGGCCTTCATAGTGTGGATGAAGATGAAGACGGTGGTCCAAGCAATAATGAGCAGTATCTTGAGTTTAATGAGAAGACTGACATGAAGAACCCACAATTGCCATTAGGGTTGATATTTAGGGATGCTACACAGCTCAAAAAAGCAGTAGGTATGCATTCTATAATAAATGGGTATGTGGATGTCCATTTTCCATGAAATGAAAAGTTCAAGGTTGATGCAGCTTGCCAAGAAGGTTGTTCGTGGTTTGTCAAGTGTGGGAAGATGTGCAATTCAAACAACATGCAGATCAAGAAGATTTTAGATCATCACACATATGGTAGATTATGGATGAATAGGAATATGAAATAGTCTTATTGAGCAGTACTTGGAAAGGATCCAACTTAATCCAACATGGCATGTTGATTCTTTTATGAACATCATTGAAGCTGAATGGAAACACGGTTGCTCGAAGATGAAAGCTCATAGGGCAATGACTGGTGCTATGAAGATTATTGAGGGTAAACATGCTGAGCAATACACAAAATTGTGGGATTTTGCTGAGGAAATCAATAAGACAAACCCAGTGAGCACTATGAAAATTATGTTGGATGAAGGAAGGTTTTAAATGATGTATGTGTGTTTGGGTGCATGCAAGGAAGGTTTCAAGTATGGTTGCAGAACCTTGATTGGTTTAGATAGTTGTCATTTGAAGTCTCAGCATGTCGATCAATTGTTAGTTGTTGTGCGGATAGATCTCAATAATGAAACTTGGGTGATAGCTTACCAGTTATTGAGATGGAGAACAAAGATTCCTAGATTTCGTTCTTGGAGATTCAGGCTGAGGATATTGGGATTATAAATTAGTATGGTTGGACATTCATTAGTGACAAGCAAAATGGTTTAATTCCTGCATTCTTGACGATTCTTCCAGATTGTCACCACAGGATGTCGTCAGACATACCGGGCATGCCATACAAGTATGTGTTCTGTTTATCTTCCATGTATTTTTTGCCTTCTGAAAAAGTAATCGCATAGGCCCTTGTGGAGTCGAGGTTAGCATTCACATCCTGAAAGAAAATGTCATACAACGTATGGACATTTGTTGTACTTGTGATATTTTCGATTCGTGAAACCTTTCTGATTCCTTCAAAATCAGAGTACCGCACCCTGAAAGATGTTCGCCATTTGCCACCTTCAACATGTCTCCTTTTTTGGGGTCAATTCTAACATGTCTGTTTATATGATACATCGTGTTGCAGATTCCAGGACTCCGTCGGCCATGTCAGTCCAAACCTTGAATCAAATGCTGGGTGATTCAATTTGGGTCCTATTTGCGTGTTTCTTTTAGGAATCTGGTGGTTCAGCTCAGTTGACAATATGATAGTTGCTGATTGCGTTAAATATGTATAGCAGCTTAAGGAAATGTTCAACTGTGGGTTTAGAAATAAAGCGATTTTCTAGCAAAGATTTGGAGTACATCCATCAGAGGAGAAAGCGACCTCCATTGTTATATTTGGGAGAGCAACGGATGAAACATTCAATTTCTTAGGTTACTCGAACAAGGAGCAAGCCAAGAGGCCACCCACAAAAGAGAACTCAACGCTCAATAGTCGCCGTCTTTTGTTCGGCCATTTTTGCTCGGCTTGCTAGACGGAAACCCGTTGCCTATAAATCAAACCTTATTCTACAGTGTGATTTGTATCAACCAGGAAAATTTATCATCATTAAACTGGCATTTTCGCCAAGTTCACATAATCTAGTCGCAACGTCTTAATTGAATTGAATATGTTGTGTTTGCCAATTACAGCAATTACAGCAACCCCTTCCTACAAAAACAAAAGCAAGCTCGACATGCAAACAAGAATTGCAGACATTGAACGTCCGTTTTAAATTTTATTGGCAAAAAAATAGTACCGTCCGCCTCGTATGAAGTGACCACCTCTAACTACTGCAAAATGTTTATGCAGTAGATTGCTTCAAATATGCAATGAGATCAGCACGATCCTGCGGCTTCTTCAATCCAGGGAACACCATCTTGGTTCCGGGAATGTACTGCGTAACAACAATTACACCCGATCAGGATATTGTACAATAAACTCAACTGCACAAGTTAGACATACACCGAGATTCTTCACTCGTTATAAAAGTTATAAGAACATTGGATTGTCCACATCAATGAACTGTCACTACCTAACACATGCAAGGGGATCCGATAGCTTCCAAACAAATCAGGAAATTTCTTGAAAAGTTTTTAGATCTAGAACGAACACTGAATTTACGTAAAATTATACATAAAGAGACAATTGTAGTGTACGAATAGAGAATGTTGATCGCAAAACCGTCTTATTTTCCCACTCCGGATTTAATGACAATGTGATAGCAATGAGGACGCAGGGTGAGTGGGAAAATAAGATAGTTGGAACAGCACTCAAATAACAAGTAACTGAACAAAAGAAATCCTTCATATTTTGTTAGTCCACCAAAACTTTTCCCAGCTGCTCTTTATATAGAGCAACTGTTTTGTATATGTTAACCAAAACTTTATTTCATGCTCGTATAAATCAAATTGTCAATTGAAAAAAGAAAACCTCGATATGTATACTTGCACCCGTTCTTTCATGTGAACATACCAACACGTTTACACTTCATGCATGAATGATTGATATGTGCAATTACGAGTCAACTGACGACGCATGTCTACCTCAAATGCTAGTATGAACCTAACCGGTTAAAGGTGATGTAAGCTAATGCTCTAAGTAAATGTGAAATCGCCAGTCATGAGGCATGGCAAACAGAGAAAATTGCATACCTTCTTGGGGTTCAACAAGTAATCATACAAGGTATTTTCCTCCCATGTCACAGCCTTGTTCTTGTTAGCAGCAGAGTATGAGTATCCAGCACCCGTACCAGACTGCCTCCCGAAAAGTCCATTCAGATTGGGTCCTGAACGTTTTAACAATTGTAAGTTAACAGCTTTTTAAAATAAAATTTAAAAAAATAAAAAATAAAAAGAAACTTCAAATTGAACTGAAAGCCTACAAAGACTGCACGTATCAATATCAATAGATATAGAAACAGAACAATCAAGCTAGTTCGCATAAATGGCAAAAGTATAAATGCAAGTCTATGCAATCACCAAGTCAGGGTTTCATTTTATATACGGACAAAACTTATTAAAAAAGAAAAGCATCAATGATGCAACCAAACTTAATCAAAATTCGTCGAAAACATAATAAACAATGCTCGTCTCGTCAACCTAAAGCAACATATACAATTTCATAGTAATGTCGAGAAGCATCAAAACGTTTTATATATTAACAATCACAAAGCACGAAAACTCATAACAAACAAACATAATTTTCCTTCAGATTATGAAATAACAATCACAGATCAAAGAGAAAAATAACCTTTTTCGTCATTGATTTATGAATTACTCGCATAATTCACAAAGCAATGAAATCATTTCTGACCAAAATAAAAAAACTCAAGAACAAACAAGAAAAATTGATCAACATTTGGACCTAAAACTACTTGGACCGCTCAATTCCATTGGCATAAAACCACAACAACTGAAACTCTAGTTCTAGTCGATTTTTCTCAGGCACCAAACTGTAAAAACTAATTTAAAAATGGAAAGATGAACAACCTAATAACGAAATCCATCAGATCTAAACAGATAAGCAGGGATCGAATCAGCAATCCAAATAAACAAATCGAAACAAAAATCAAAATACTCAAATCCAAAAACCAGATGCAAAAAAGGGATTATAATTGTGAGATCCGAAGAAAGATCAAGAAAATCATCGAAATCAAAACCAAAACTTATCAAAGGAAAATCGAGGTTTGGTGAAGGGAGAGAAGATGAGATTACCCTGCTTGTGACCGGCGCCTTTCTCGACGGTATGGCACTGAGCGCACTTGGTCTTGAAGATTTTCTCTCCGGTCTTGGCATCTCCGGGTGGAGCTTCGGCAAACGACGCCATTTCTCGAGAAATCTAAAGAGAGAGAGAGAGAGAGAGAGAGAGAGAGAGAGAGAGAGAGAGAGAGCGGGAGAGGAGAGAGATCAGGTTTAGGGTTTGCAGACGAGAGACTTTGATTTTCGACAGAGACGCACCGGAACGAACTCTCTCCAATTTATTTATTTTCCGTGGAATCTTCCAGACGAAGAAGCGAGGAAGGGAACGTGGTGTGCCGCAGGCCCTAGGTTTTGGTGACGTGGCGTGTTTTCAGTGGAGCATACTTTTCGTAGCGTGATGATAATGCGGACCGTTCGTGTGGAGGCCTCGGGCCTTTTCATGTTGAACTAAAAAATGCAGGGCTGGTTTGGAGAACACTTTTAAAATAATTGAAACTTGTTTTTTTGTGAAAATGATTTTATAATTAATTTTTAGTAAAAATTTAAGTAGATTTTGAAAAAGTATTTTATGTATTTTTTGGAAGAAGTATATATATGTTGCTTTCTTAAAAAAACACTTAAATTGTTTTTGAATCCAAAATTCATTTCACCAAAAACACTTTTAATCTTTTTAAAAATAATTTCAGTCATTTTAAAAGTACTTTCAAATAAGATATTGAGTCTAGTCCTCTTCTATCTAATTACAAGATTCGGTCCAATGTACCAAATCAGGACTAAGACTATGTATTTAGGGGTGGACGGGGTCAGTTTGGTGCGATTTTGAGTGAAACTAAAACCAAAATTGCAAGTTTTTACGGTTTGATTTGGTGCGGTTATGAGGTTAAAACCAAAATGAAACTAAACCGTTTGATTTGGTTCAGTTTGCTTTTAAAGGATTTTGGTTTGGTTTCATTGTTTGAAAAAACTATTATGGTTACCTACTTGTATATCATTTCATCTAATTCAATAAAAATGTTTTGGTGTTTGAAAAAACTATTATGGTTACCTAATGCATTATGACATTATGAAAAATAAATTGTTCATCCAAGTCAATAAAAAGAAGTTTTGGTGATTCAACTTACTTTGTGACTCGTAAAAAAATATTAGCACCAAAATACTAAGTGAAAGTAATTGTAATTTACCACTAACCTCATTGTCCGGTTGAACAAGCAGTTCGCCAATGAACTGGTAGACCGATCCAACTCGAAGTATAGTTATGAGATTTATGATATCAAAGAATTGAATCTACACGTTATGAACCTTCCAATTTTAAAACTACGAAAATTTCGGAACAAAAGGTCCAAATAAAACTCAGGGATTTAATTTGTTATAGATGATTGGAAAGCAAATAAAAGAGGAACACAATCAATTTACACAATGCAACAAAAAACTACCGCTAAAAACGGAAAAGGTAGAAGTCTTACTTTCCGGTTGCTCGTAACGAAGCTCCTTGCTTGAAGTATAAGGAAGATGGATGCAGGTCCTACAGTGTAACCAATGCTGCAGATTCTCAGTGCATTTAAAACACGGGCATATACACTATATGTCATACACAAGTGAAAGAATACTTGAAAACTTGTAAAATAATACACGATGTATCAACCCGTATTCCGAGCATATTGAAATTGTTGGAGAACAATTTAGAAACAATAAAATAACAAAAATATAGAACCGAAATACTTATACTTTATTATTCAAAAATACTTGCAATACAGAATGCAATAACACAATAATTACAAAAAATTAATATGATACTAACTTGAATGAATCGAAGGTAGAGGCTAGCGCAAACGCTATGTCCTTCGAACAGTATTTCCGTCCCACTCGTGTGCTTGTGGTTCTACAACATCTGCTCGACCAGGATACAACTGCCTAATTCTACAACCTGCACTGGATTATAGAACTCTAGCAAATTGTTTTATGTGTTTACTCTTTGAAAAGTTTGTACGGAAGATAAGGAGGAAGAAAATATGATTTTTGATGGAAATGAGGACTCCAGTTATATAGGCTCTTTCATACCTCTTCAAACACCTTTTGGATGTATCTGAAGCTATACAACTCTTTCCAAAGAGTTGTGTCTATTAATCAAAACGTTTTTAATTAATTTAATTAAAAACTTAATTTGAAATTAAAACTTGATTAATTAATATTAATTAATATTAATATTATAGTATAATCATCAAGCTTAATCCACACAACCATAAGGCCCAAGCCTTCAATCCATTTCCAAATGGTCCAAGTTCTAATTACTAAGAAAAAAGAATAAGCCTATATAAAGGCTAGTGAAAAAATACTGTTGATCAATGTGGGACAAAAGGGTCTGAAACTCCAACAGAAATATCTCTTGTGCCATTGCTATTTTATATGCTCCCATTTATACCAAAATTATTGAGGAGTTACTCAAACGATTTATAATGATTAATTTATTTTATTTTAAAAAAAGTCAGTTTTATGAAAAGGAAATCGGTAGAAGTATTTTTATTAGGGGCTTTTAATTCCGGTCCACTTCATCCAAATTACATTGGGTCTAGTCCTGTTATATCTAATTACAAGATGCCGTCCAACGTGCCAAATCAAGACTAAGATTATGTAAATATATCTAAAAAAATATTATTGACACTTTAAAAATATCATTTTATATTCTTTACAAGTGTTTGGAGTATGAAATGAGATTTTTAGAGTACTAATAACAATTTTCTAGATTTATTGAAGTTAAATTGTAATCGTGGTTGAAGGTGAGTGAAGTCGACCGCGACAGGTAATGTTAGAGTTAAGTTGATGAAATATTCTGATGTTTTTAAGGAATATTATGTTGCCGTTACAAAATATTTCATCGTCTCCTTCCCTTTTCACGGGTCGCCGGAGTCGCTGTCAAATTTTACAATAGTGCCACTTTTGAACCGGTTTCTCATTTGTCTCTGACCTTTTCACTGCTCATCGTTCTTTCCGTGAGCATCAAATCGGCTGCCACGGAAACGTGACAATTTGGAATTGAATTGGAATATCATTCTTTGTTTTTTATTATAAAACTTCGATGGTACGAAGGGAATTTTATTAATAATGATAAAATGAGTTATATCTAATTATGAAATACATAAACTCAACCCATCATAATACAAGGAAATAAAAACACATGAAAATAGAGGTGGGAACATAAACCTTACTCTTCTAAAAACGAAAACAGTAATGATACAAAGGAAAAAGAAGGAACTTAAAACCTAACTCCTCTATAGTCAAACCTAAATGTCTAAACTTACAAAACAAATCGAGAATATTTGAATTTGTTAGAAATGTCAATGTCTAAACATCAAAAATCATCGATCTTCGTCAATGTCGAAACTTGGATAAGTCTGCATTCGTACAAAGTTGATGAGATTGGTATATTTGGTTGAAGGTTGTGAATCTCAAATTGGGATGTATAATATTCTGGTTGGAATGAATTCACATGATTTTATAAAGGATAAATCACCAAAATGGTTCTTGAGATTTGCATAACTCATCACTTTGGTCCCTGAAATTCCAAATCGATAAAAGTGGTCCATGAGATTGTCCATCATCTATCATTTTAGTCATTCTATTAAAAACTCCATTAAGTGTCCTGAAGCTCTTGGCCGAAAATTTGAGCAATTTTCAAAGCTTCGTAACTCAATCGTTTCTTAACCAAATTCGACCCATAATATATGGAAATGAAGATAGGAAGTGTAGAATAAGATTAAATCATTTCAAAGCCTAATGGTTGCCGGAGATGGCCGAAAAACAGCCTCAAAGTTGACTAGTCTGAGCAAAAACTGGAAAACTCGCTGGAAACTAGGTCAACTTTAAACGTTCATAACTTCTTCAATACTCAACGAAATCAAGTGATTTAAAAACGACAATCATATTTCTCGACGAGACAAAGAGAATGATACCTTTTTAGACTGCTAGATCGCCGTGGTTTGGCCGGAAAACGGCTTAAAAGTGGCTAACTCGAGACCGAGACAGCCACTTTCAAGCTGTTTTCTGGCCAAACCACAACAAGTTAGCCATCGAAAAAGGTACCATTATCTTTATCTCGTCGAGAAGTATGATTTTCGTTTTTGAATCACTTGATTTCGTTGAGTATTAAAGACGTTATAAAGGTTTAAGTTTACCTAGTTTCCGATGAGTTTTTTAGTTTTCGCTCGGACCAGTCAACTTTGAGGCTATTTTCCGGCCATCTCTGGCAACCATTGGGCTTCGAAATAGGTATAATCTTATTCTAAACTTTCCTATCTTCATTTTGATATATTATGGGTCAAATTTGGTTAAGAAACGATTGAGTTACGAAGCTTTGAAAATTGCCCAAACTTTCGGCCAAGAGCTTCAGGACACTTAACGGAGTTTTTAATAGAAGGACCAAAATGATGGATGGTGAACAATCTCAGGGATCACTTTTATCTATTTGGAATCTCAATGACCAAAGTGATGAGTTATGCAAATCTCAAGGACCATTTTGGCGATTTACCCTTTTATAAATTTTCATCCACTAGGTGTTATTAGGTTTTCTTGGTTAATTTTCAGAGATCTATTTAGATGTTGGAATGAACCTAGCAGTGATCATCACCTACACACCAATATGAAACACAATTAGTTTTGCTCTTTAAATGTGAATATATAAAAGCTCGTTTTGATGTGCCTTCAAAATAATTGAAAGCGCTTCAGAAAAAATGTTTCTAGGTTTTAGAAGCACTTAAAGTGATTTCTGCATTCAAGTGCTTTTCCATAATTACGTTAGAAGTCCGATCATGAACTCGACAACTCCGCCACTCTGTTTTGAGGCAATGGGCGAACTTTAAGCGACTTCACTGGACAGACCATACTTGTTCTGCAAGACACGAGATATGATCCGGATATGGAATCAGCTAGATCTCGATATGCCTTGGAGTTCTTACAAACTATGAATTGGTATGCGCCATAAGTAATCACAACTCTGGGTGCAATATATACTTCTAGATATCATATAGGATTCTCCCAACTTAACAAGGATTCTATTCTAAAAAAGATATCTCTCCCGACTGTTATAAATACACTCATCTAGGGTTCGTCTCTGGCAACGTAATCTACACTCTAATTCTCTTGCCCACTACTTGAGTCTTATACTTGCTTACTAACTTGACCATCAGAGTACGTTTGGGCTTGCTCACAGTTGTTTTCTGTTTACAGGTTACTCAGATGGTGCAATATATACTTCTAGATATCATATAGGATTCTCCCAACTTAACAAGGATTCTATTCTAAAAAAAATCTCTCTCCCGACTGTTATAAATACACTCATCTAGGGTTCGTCTCTGGCAACGTAATCTACACTCTAATTCTCTTACCCACTACTTGAGTCTTATACTTGCTTACCAACTTGACCATCGAGTACGTTTGGGCCTACTCACAGTTGTTTTCTGTTTACAGGTTACTCAGATGGTGCAATATATACTTCTAGATATCATATAGGATTCTCCCAACTTAACAAGGATTCTATTCTAAAAACGATCGCTCTCCTGACTGTTATAAATACACTCATCTAGGGTTCGTCTCTGGCAACGTAATCTACACTCTAATTCTCTTGCCCACTACTTGAGTCTTATACTTGCTTACCAACTTGACCATCGAGTACGTTTGGGCCTACTCACAGTTGTTTTCTGTTTACAGGTTACTCAAATGGTATACTTCTAGATATCATATAGGATTCTCCCAACTTAACAAGGATTCTATTCTAAAAACGATCGCTCTCCTGACTGTTATAAATACACTCATCTAGGGTTCGTCTCTGGCAACATAATCTACACTCTAATTCTCTTGCCCGCTACTTGAGTCTTATAGTTGCTTACTAACTTGACCATTAGAGTACGTTTGGGCTTGCTCACTTGTGCATCTCCACCACTTGCTGCAGTGCGCGAATTTGGTTCCGACAGAGAAGAGATTTTATTACATGATCATGATAAGAGAAACTTGTCGGAGAAGACATTTTGGCAGAATTGTTGATATGCTTGATGAGATGAGGCAAGCGGGTTGTGAACCAGACGTCAAAACTTACAATTATCTACTTGGTAGCTTATGCAAGAACTATAAGTTTACCGAAGCTACAAAACCATATGAACAACTGCCAGAAAGGAATTGTCAACCTGATGGCATAACCTTTGAAATATTGATTTAGCTGTTAAATACAGTTGCTCTAGCACTTCAGTTTACAGCTTGCTCGCAAGATATTGTAAACTCAAGCTAAAATGGGGGCTCTTTTGCCATGACAATATGAAAGACTGGTCGCAATTTGGGAAGGGAAACATGTCCATAATTCGTGTCATGCGGCGCAAACATATCTTCAAATGCGTTACATAGAGCCACTAATTTTACACTAAGACTTACTTCTCCAGAAGCTTAAAAGGCACTCGCAGTTTCTGTTCCTTTTTCTTTTATTTACACACTTTCTTTAAATTACAAATCAACTAATCTAATTTCGGGATCTCATCTGACGTCAGCCTCCAAAATATTTATTAGACATAGACATTATATTCTTATCCAGTAACAGTTTCAGGTGCATATTATGATATGAGGCTAATGTATCAGACATTTCAGAAGGGCTTACATCAACCTCTCGAGCCGCTCATTCGGGTTTCTTGCACTGGTTCTCGCCCGTTCTTGCACTCTTTTGCATTATCAATGTGATGACACATTTGTCATCCTGCTGCGTGCACCCAACTGATTTCGTAGAGGACGTTAATCACCACTGCTTTGGAGATTATTGTCCCGGCTCAGCATCTTGAGTCTACACAGTAACTCGAACTGTACCTTGGTTCCTTCAAGTATGTGGGAGAGTCCCAGACCTTGATTCTGCAATCTGAAATTGATGACGGTGTTTTCAAATTGGTTACTTTGCTAACTAACAATATGCGTGCCCACTATCTGGTTGGTTATTGGAAGAAACAAAAAGACTGAATAAATTCAATTTTACGGGAGCAAAACTATTCGAGTATTATCAATTCCGAGACACGAATAAGTTGTAAAATAGAAAACTGTGATTGAGAAACAACCTTATGCACAAGTTTTACATTCTTCCGAGTACTGGATGCCACGCTTGCGGCAGATTTTGAATATCTTCTGCGTGCAGCGTTACTTTCCTCATCTCCCTGCACATTATACAACATTCCCATGAGATTTACATGGTACTGAAATTTAGAAAAATAGAGAAAAGAAAAGCACATTCACTAACAACTATCAACTTCAAAACCAAATATAATAAGATCTTGGCTTGTTTCATAATATTCACAGGGAGCTGCTGTGCAGGAAGACTTTTTTGCAGTAAATAATGATTCCCCATTTAAAAGTTCTTAAACATTACAATAGGATGTGGCGTCTAGCTATTCGTCTAGTTAAGGTCCATCGTAGTAACAAGTTAAACACGCTTAAAAAGGAAAAAAATTATATTACTCATTTGTTATATTTTCATGCAAGGTTATCATGAATACATCGATAATTCAACTATCTAAACTCGTAAACTTGGGAAGCATCACGGATAACATTTAACCAGAACTGTATGTCAATTGAGAAGTTCCAAAATCCTGATATCCAAGTCTATGGTTTCACCACACATTGACAAAACAACTTCATAATTCATGGTAAAGAAAGATAGGGCTAAAGTCAATTGGCTTTTAGCTTTTTAGGGGAACAACATTATATGAATGTTCACAGAAAACAAGAACATCTTCAAAATAATGAAAGAAATGTTCACAGAAAAAACTAGAAGAACATATTCCAAAAAGTTAGACAAGAAAAGCTGAAAGTAATATGGGGCACTCTCAAGTTACTCATCCCAGTGACAGAGCATGTACAACTTTCAAGAGCAGCAAATGGTTCATGCATAAACTAACCACATCCATTATATGATTACCTTTTTCTGCTTTCTTTCTTTTCCACAATTCTTGCGATCATAGTCAGCACCAAAATTTTGGTTCAATTTATTTTTGGTAGGTTTGTTTGTGAACCTGTAATTATTAACAGTGCAACTATTTCATTTTCAAACCTTTGAGCATCAATAAAAACACATGAACGAATAAATGTGAGAAACTAGAGGAAGCAATGGGTCGACAAATAACAACATAACATGCATTACATTGATTTTGGTCCCTGGTTCTCAGATAGGCCAACCTTCGGTCGCATTTGTTGATTGCCCAAATCTAAAGGCTTTCTAGAAACTCCAATACAGCTGCTGAAAATTAACAAATTTACAAGTCAAATTAATGAATGAGAGAGAGAGAGAGAGAGAGAGAGAGAGTGAAAAATATAGATACAGAAGAATAAATGTGAAATACTAGAGGAAGCAATATGTAACATGCATTACATTGATTTTGGTCTCTGGTTTTCAGATAGGCCAACCTTTGGTCGCATCTGCTCACTACCCAAGTCTAAAGGCTTTCTAGAAACTCCAGTACAGCTCCTGAAATGGCCAACTAGTCAAATGAGAGAGAGAGAGAGAGAGAGAGAGAGAGAGAGAGAAACCATACCGTTTCTCTATAGCCATGTTCTTCAAACCACCAGGAATGGATTTCTGTTCTGATGGACTCTGCACAAAAAGAATAAAAGCGAAAAAAAAAAAATTATCAGCATAAGAGCTGCTTGATATTATAATTCTGAATGAAACCCAGATGGCCAACCTGGACAGATCGTGAACGAACTGGTGGATTTGTTCGTAATGTATCAGCCAAATTTTTGCCATTCGAATTTTCCTTTTTTGGATGACTTCTACCACTAGGAGAAAATGACACCAATCTACTTCTTGTTGATGCAAGGTGAACAGTGGCACTGGAGCATACTTCAGTGAGCTGTTTACGTATGGAAACATGGTTGAAATTATTATCAGTGGCTGAGCTACGAGTGTTACGCTTGCTAGGAAGAAGATTGTTATCTCTTTTGGCAGTGGAATGATGAGGCAGACGTGGTTTTGACTCCTCTGATGCCTTAACATCATCTCTGGGTCTAGTAACTTTGCTGTCCAACTTTGGTTTGTTCCATGGTAAAGCAGCATTACCCTAGGAAAAAAACAAACCAAAATTACCCCTCAGAAGCATAACAAGAATTCAAAGAAAAAGTCTGCACTCAAGAAAGCTAATTCAGAGGTCAATACATAGGATACTTGGCACAAGTAAAAATGTACACCACGATTTAACAGGTCAATGAACCTTGAATCCTGTCTTTCTTCTTTCCAGAAGATAAAATGACTATGAGACTGTTAATAACCCTGTCGTAGTACCTGTCTAATTCTAATATGTTTTGTGTATGCCCCTTTTTTTGTGCCCAGATGACGCTTTGACTGTGGAGACCAATTGACATTTAACACTCCACTAAAAGATCCACATTCAAAACTAAACATTTTAAGATAGATGTAATCTGTGTTCCTTGGCCTAGTTGACAAAGATTGGGTTGTTCTAGAAATGAGATATGTATATCAGAGACCAGATAATACCTTAGACTTTAATACAGGAGATGCATGTTTCTTTGGCTTGTTAGCGTCATTCTTGACAGAGTCAGAGACAGGGCTGTCAGGCTGGGAAGATTTCAAGCTCCTAGTGACCGATGGAGTGGGTGATAAGGAAGCCCCAATTCTATCATGTTCCGGTTCAATTGATAGAGTCTTACTGGTTTCTTCCGTCACAATAACCTTGTTAGTACTGTCATTACAGTCACTCAAGTTTAGTTGTACTGGTTTATCCGCTACGCTTCCCAAGTTAGCGACTGTCTCATTTCCTGACTTTGTCACTTGAGATAAGTCATCACAATTGTCATTTTCGGACTGCGAGGCATTGATCTTCCCATCCGGGCAAAGATCAGGTTCAGTGGTTTCTTGATGCTCCGCCTGCAGTACCTTGAGGGCTCTAATTTTTTTGTAATATTCTTCAAAGTAAGCCTTCTTTTGAGCAACCAATCCATTGGACTTGTATTTTTCGAGCTCCTCCTGACATCTGTTGTGCCGAAAGACAGAACGTTTTTCCCACGCAAGTGTTTCTACAGAAAATCTTCCAAAGGATATTGAACCATGATCCAAAATTTGAGAGATAGATACATCCTGATTTTATATGAAAACAACAAAATCATATTAAATCCCACAAATCACATCTACAACACATAATCTAAAACTCCAACATCTACAAAACATAATTAAAATAGGGAAAAAAAATGTCATAAGAAATCTTAAGCAACAAGTCAAACAATTCACGTACTAAATTCAGATTTCCAATTTCTCAGTAGCCAACCAGAGAATTCAAGTTCAACAAGATCAACGTTAGAGTTTACAATTCATGCACTAAACTTAAATTTCAATTTCTCAGCAACCAAACAGAAAATTCGGGAAGTGAAAGTATATAGAATTAGTACCTGGGAGTGTTGACGGTCTGAAGGTATACCAGACTGATGAAATTCAGTATCAGTCGCCATTTCCGAACTCCAATTTCTCTCCACAGTCTACAGTCAGTTACTATTCCTGGAACTAAATCACATTCTCCGGTACCAAACTCCTACAAAACCAGAAAAAGAGCAAAGTTACTATTCCTGTAAATAAATCACATCTTCCTTCACTTTCCCTCATTTTCTCAGCAACCAAACAGAAATAATCAATAACCGTTATCACTTACCAACAACTCAGGCAGAGATGTTCTCCAGATCTGAGATTTAGCGAAACGACTCCGAGCCAAGAAAACGCACCGTTTTGAGAGTTGAGTGCCTTGCTTGCGGAGTTGTGGCAGTGAGAGAAGTTAAGCAGAAGGAAGAAGAAAAATGGTTACTACGTGTCCAAATAGAAACAGACAGAAAGGAACTACCTTCCCTTTGTCTGACGTGGCTTCTCTGCGGTGCGGCACAGCGGCTTTTGCTGCATCTGGTGCTAAACCCGCCACGTGTGCTCCCAGACGAGTTTTTTCCGTTGTTTTACGACCTCGTTTTGTCCTTAATTACAGAGAAGCCACGGTGGGTTTTAGTTGTGCGATCTGGATTGGGGAGTTTGATCAAGTGTCGATATGCTCAGTCGTAGAGGGAATTTAATTGGTACAGTATAGCTTTATTTAGAGATCGGTGTGGACCCATGTGAGCCACGTGGATGGAGTTTAAGTTAGTAGAACATGGGGATACCATGAGGGCCACGTGATATGAGTATGGGTCCTCAATGAGGAACCAGGATCCTCTCCGGATCCATTTCCTAGGAATCCTGCAATCTTATCTATTTTATATCGTACGGTCAGTTTTCCTTATGTAGTATTCATATTTGAATTTCAAAGTTTAAATAATTTCTGACCGCGTGATAGATGATGAACGGACATGATTGTGGGATCCCTAGAGATGGATCCGGAGAGGATCTGGTTCCTCAATGAGATAGGAGGACAATGATGTATTATATGGTAAATTGCACTTTACCACCTCAGTTTAGGATCGATTTCAATTCCTTACAATATCTTTAAAACATTTTACTTTCATACCTCAAGTACTATTTTATTTCAATATAATACATCCGTTACATTTTCCATCTATTGATCCGTTAAGAGTTAACATGACTGCTACATTTGTGGCAGGCGGCTACCAAATGTGTGCCACGAGGCAAAAAAAAAAAAAAAACACAAACTGAAACCCACCTCCCCGCAAACCCCTACCCTAGCAAACAACCCCCCCCCCCCCCCCCCGACCCACCTCCCTCTCCTCCACTCTCTTCACCTTCCCTCTCATCCAAAAATACAACCCATCCCACCCCACCCCCACCTTCCCCGAGCCCTTTCTCCTCTTCACCCCCACCCATCTTTCCTCTCCCCATTCTCCTTCGCAGCCTTCACTGTCCCCACTAAACCATCTTGTCTTTTTTACATTCAATCTCCTCATCTAAACTACAAGGGTAAAGTACAAAAAACTAACTCAATTATTGGCGTTACGACACTTTCATACCTCATCTTACAAAATTGACAATGTCATTCATCATCTTACGAATTTGTGTCAACATCATACCTTCCGTTAGCTTGGCCGTTTATTTCTCAGTTAAATGTTGATGTGTCTTGATCTGGGACCCATTTTTATTAAAAAATTATTAAAAACTAAAAAATATCATTTAATATTTTTTAAATATTAAAATAATAAAAAAAAGTTATTTGAAAAAAAAAAAAAAAAAAACCAACATCACAACATCAGTCGTCCCCTTCCTCCCTTCTCTCTCTTCTTCCCATCTTCATCTTCTTCCCCCTTTCTGCAATTGCAACCCAGAAAAAGAGAAGAGGGAAAAAAAAACAATCAATTTGTTTTCCCCGTTCCCCACCCCCTCTTCTCCCCGCACCCACTCTCCGCACCCAACCTCTCCACCTTTGGACCCACCCTTTGCACCCAACCACGCACCCATTACCTGCAACCCATAAAACAAAAAAAAAAAAAAAAAACCCAGATCCGAATGAACTGGGTTTTGTTTTTTTGTTTTTTTCTTTCTTCCTTCTCTCTTCTTCTTCTTGTTTTTCTTTTGCGCAGGGTGGGTGGGTATTTGGGGTGGGGTGGGGGGGACAAGAGTTTCCCTTCTTCTTCTTCTTCTTCCTCCTTCGGGTTAGGTTGGGGTTGGTATTTTTTTTTTTTTTTCGTTTCCTTCTCTCTTCTTCTTCTTGTTTTTCTTTTGCAGGTGGGTTTTTTTTTTGGGGAGGGGGGGGGGAGGACGAGAGTTTCTCAATTTTTTTTTTTTTGGTTCCTTCTTCTTCTTTCTTCTTCTTCTTCTTCTTCCTCCTTCGGGTTGGGTTGGGGTTGGTTTTTTTTTTTTTCCTTCTTCTTCCTCCTTCTTCTTTATGGGTTGCAGGGGGTTGGGTTTGTGGTGGGGGAAGAGGGGACGAACTGGGTTTGGTTTGGGGTTTTTTTTTTTTTTTTTTTTTTTTTTTTTCTGTCTTCCTCTTCTTCTTCCTGGATTGCAGGAAGATGGTGAAGAAAGAGAGGGACGAAAAGGAGAGGTTTATTTTTAATTTTTTTATGTATTTTTATTATTTTAATATTTGAATAATATTAAATGATTTTTTTTGTTTTTAATAATATTTTATTAATTTTTTTAATAAAAAATGTGTCTCGGATCAAGCCACGTCATCATTTAACTAAGAAATAAACGGCCAAGTTAACGGAAGGTATGACATTGACACAAAATCGTAAGATGAGGTATGACATTGTCAATTTTAAAAGATGAGGTATGAAAGTGTCGTAACGTCAATAGTTAAGGTAATTTTTTTGTACTTTACCCAAACTACAATCTCTTACATGTGTCTTACTTTCTTTCTTCCAATTCTCAATAACCGAGTCATTAAACCGGGAAGGAAGTACCTGAACTCGGCCCCGCGACGTCCTCACCAGTGGCGACAGCTAAACCTCCGTCTTCGCTGTGGCGGCTGACTCCCTGTTCTTCGATTTCGACTCATCCTCGGGGGAGCAGGAGACTTCGGGGATAATACCGGCGGGGCCAATCGAATCGAGCAAGCCGTGGAGGTTGACGGGGACAATAACGGCGGCGACCTCGCCGAGCAGATTGAGAGGGTAATACCCATTAATCTTCCTCTTCTTCCTGCCCGAGCTATCGTCGAGCAGATTGAGAAGGTAAGACCCATTAACCTTGACGGGGACAATATTTGTAAATATATACTGAAGTAAAACAGAACATACGATCAAAGCACTGAGGTAAATTTGGGCATCGAAGTTGCAAGATCAAAGTACAGACCTCTCTTCTATTTTAGCGTTGTGGTCGCACCAAGGGTTTATGAACAACCAAAGGATTATTGAAAACGGGCTTCCGTCTGAGGTAGTGGTGGATATTTCCCAATATTATTTTCTTTGCTGATTTGGGTTGATATTATCAATGTGATTTGCTTTTAAATGTTGACTATGAATTTTGTGTTTGCCTGGATATGTTCGAAAATATATGCATTTGAGAATCTTGGAGAATCACAAATATTGTAGGTACTGAATTTTGTCAACTATCTTTTAATTCGGATTAATGCTAGGATATTCATGCTTTGTAGAATTAATTAGTGCTAAGAGTGATTAATAAGTATTTAACCCAACAAAAAACTTTGCTTTTGGTGCAAATGCATGTGTTTCCTTCTAAGAGTATACAACTATAGATAGATCTCAAAGACAAACGGACAGATAGGCTCTGAATTAACCAAGATACATACATCTAATACATGCAATAGATATATAAAAATGGTACCCCACACATATATATATCAAGAAAAGTGTGTGTGTGTGTGTATTGTAAGAAATGTGAAATTATACATAGGTAAGTTAATTATTAAGAAAATTCAGGACGAATAGTTTTACCAGAAGCAGAGGTTGTATTTGGAGTAGTCGTGGTCTTTTGATAGCCATGGAAACCTCCTGATCGTTCCATTGTATTTTCCTGCCTGAGAAGACACGAGCGATTTGGTTGATTGCATAGGATTTGTGCATATTAAAACTGCACATGTATAATCTCTTTTTATATTACCTTCAACTAATGAAAAATGATGGTTATCTTCATTAGTTCGAGGAGATAGCAACTGTTTGTCGTTGATTCAACATGACATTGGTTTCTCCTCAACTAATGGCTGCCTTTTTTGTTTTTTATTTTATTTTATTTTTATACTTTTATGTTTGTCTTTTTTTGTTAATAAATTTATATTACCTTCAACTAATGTAAAATGGTACTTATCTTTGTTAATTCAAGAAGGTAACAACTGTTTGCCATTCATTCAAGCTAACATTAGTATAGATTGTAGTAAACTGATAGTAAAGCGAAGTTTGAAAAATATAAATTTTTTCAGGATATGCAAAAACTACGAAAAATATAAAATAAAAAAAATTTATTCAAATTCTTGGTGGAACAAATTGTGTTTTGCTGTGGAATCACCAATCTATATGTTTTTAGTTTTTTTTTATAATGCTTGAATTATGCTTTATAACTTTTCATAGGGTTTTTCTGCACTGAATTGGATAAATGGTTGATGGATTTGGTGCCATATTTATTAAAAAATGAAAAACGGGGGCAGGGGAGCAGAACACAATTATATATAGCATTGCTTAATTTTCTTTCAAATCAAAGATGTGCCAACGGTGTTGAGAACAATGGCTAATTTAAGTTGATTGATTGATAGTTTTGCAGAAAGACTGACTTGGTAAGACGCTGAAGCTGAGCCAAATATGAACCCAGCTGGAAAACTGCTCCTGTTCAGGAAAGCAGTGTCATAACGAATTGGCATGCCGGCAGTAGCTTTATTATGCTTTTCAAATTTATCATTGGTGTAAAATTTTTAAGCTTTAAAATTATCTTTATCAGGCCTGATTTAGGCTATAAATTCAGAGGCTTTTCAATAGCCCAGTTTGCAACATGGAATTCAGAGGCTTTTCATTTTTCGCTTTGATTAACGTTTGTGCCTGCCTTCTCAGTACAAAACTGGGTTACATATCATTTTACACCATATTCTCATATTTTTTTTATGCATTTTTACGTCCAGTAGTTTTGACACCCGTAGCAACACGTGGGCACCATTGCTAGTTTTCGGGCTAAAAGGAAGTCCTTGAACTAAAAGGAAGTCCTTTCGAGTTTGGACGTTGGACCGTGGGTCGAGAAGAGAAGGCTAAATTTGAAAAGCTTTGTAGAGCGGCTGATTGAAAAGCACGGGAAAGAAGACGACGGCCGTCGCCATGTCGTCGTAGAACCGCAATCGTTGTCGACTTGAATCATGTTGCTCCATAAATCAGGGCCCCCAAAACCTGAGTGTCCTCTTTCCATTCAACTTTTCGACCCTCTGGCTTCCAGTGGTCAAGTAAAAGAACCTAGTATGTTGCCTCAACCCGCACCTACTCCACAGCAGTGCTCTCAACTTTGCCATCCCAACTATGCTCTCGACAATGTTGCCTATACAAAACTTGTCCAACACGCTACCAAAACTGGGTCTTCACTCCATGGAAAACTTGCCCACGCCCACATCATCAAAACCTCCTTTAAGCCCTGTATGTTTTTTCTCAACAATCTTCTCACCATGTATTCCAGGCTCGGAGAATTCGACAGTGCACGCCACCTGTTCGATAGAATGCCTAAGCGGAATCTCATTTCGTACAACTCCTTGATTTCTGGATATAACGAGGTGGGTCTGTTTGATAAGGCAATGGGTGTTTTTAACGAAGCAAGAATGGCTGGTTTAAAACTTGATAGGTTTACTTATGCCGGTGCTTTGAGTGTGTGTGGTCAAATCGGTGATTTTGAGCTGGGTAAGCTGGTTCATGGATTGATAGTCGTCAACGGGTTGGGCCCAGAAGTTGTTCTCACCAATTCTCTTATTGATATGTACTCTAAGTGTGGCCGAGTTGATCATGCTAGGAATTTGTTTCAGAGTTCATATAACTTGGACCATGTCTCATGGAATTCCTTGATTGCTTGCTATGCTCGAATTGGTGCTAACGAGGAAACATTGACCACTCTAGTGAAAATGCATCAGTGTGGGTTGAGCTTGAATACCTATACACTAGGGAGTGCCCTCAAGGCGTGTGGCAAAATTCTTGACAATTCAGGACTATTTGGGAAAATACTTCATGGGTACAATGTCAAACTGGGGTTGGACTTGGATGTTGCAGTAGGAACGGCATTGCTTGATATGTATGCAAAGACTTGTGGCTTAGGCGAGGCGATACAAATATTCAAATTCATGCCTTACCGCAATGTTGTTTTGTATAATGCCATGATTGCGGGGTTCCTCCAAATAGAGACCTTTTCTTATGGACATGCAAATGAAGTGTTTAATCTTCTATCAGAGATGCAAAGGCTAGGAATCAAGCCATCAACATTTACTTTCTCAATCATATTGAGAGCTTGTAAATCGGTTGAAGCTCTTGAGTACGGGAAACAAGTTCACACTCAAGTCTACAAGAATGACCTACAGGGAGATGAATTCATTGGAAGTGGGCTTATTGATTTCTACTGTTCTTTGGGTTTATCCAATTATGCATTGAGATGCTTTAACTTAACTCCTAGGCCAGATATTGTCTCGTGGACATCCATGGTTGCAGGTTATATCCAAAATGGGGAAATTGAAAGTGCATTTGATTTATTTTATAGACTTTTGGAATCTGGAATGAAGCCTGATGAATTCATAATATCAAGCATGCTGGGTGCGTGTGCTGATTTGGCTGCAGCAAGATCTGGAGAGCAGATCCAAGGATATGCTGTAAAAGCTGGATTTGGGAAATTCACTGTAGTTCAAAATTCACAGATATGCATGTATGCAAAATCTGGAGATATTGATTCTGCTAATTTTTCCTTTACAGAGATAGAGAATCCTGATGTGGTTTCCTGGTCCGTGATGATATGTAGCAAAGCACAGCATGGATGTGCAAATGAAGCCTTGAATCTTTTTGAGTTGATGAAGATTTGTGGAATTGCACCCAACCACATCACTTTCCTTGGAGTTTTGACTGCATGCAGTCATGGAGGACTAGTAGAAGAAGGTTTACGGTAGGTTATAGAAACTGAAAATTTAAATTTCATTGCTTTTGTTTGATTTGAAATAAAAATCGTAAAGATAAGGAGACAAGATTAAATAACTCCATTTTCCTTCTCAAAGTTTCTGGGAAAAATATGTGAAATATGATACGAAGTATGTATATTTGTAAGAATTTCCTTACGTATTCTTCAAGGAACCAAATACAGTAACATAAACAATTTCCCTCCATTTTCCTTCTTCACACATCTCTTGTTCTTTCTTTTAGTTCAAATCTTTTTGAAAGTGAAACAAACTTCATCTTATGCTTCTCGCTCCTTGTTTTTGTTCACAATTCACCAATGGTTAATATTCTGCTCTTCAGTTTTTTCATTAAGTAATTTTCCTGAATTTGGGGCTTGGGAAAGTAAGAGGTGATAAGTTGCTGGGAACTGAAATTAACAATAGCGTAGGTAATCCATCTAAGAAGTCATGAAGGGAAGAAGGGGTGGAGCATTTAGATGTAATGAGGAAAATGTATTGTTTGTAGTGTTGAACTGCTGGGAATCAATTTATAATTGAATAGGAATCATTTGGAGAGGTATGCCATTTTGAAATTTATTTTGTTGTTTCTAGGTCATCATGTGACTTTGGAAGAGACTCTAAGAAAAGACTTACTTGGATCTAATGAAAAACGTGGCACAGAACCGAGCGGAATGGCTTTCTAGGATTCGCTAACCCCACTTAGCGGGAAAAGGCTTTGTTGTTGTTGTTGTTTTGTTTCTAGGTCATCATGTCAAACCTTTTCAATTGCAACCCAATATTTTGGTTTGTAAAAATGAACACTTGTGAATGCACTTTAAATGCTCACTTCCAGGGTGTGTTAATTTCTTGACTCTTCTTGTTCATGCAGATATTTTGAAACAATGAAGAAAGATTATGGCATGTCAACCAATGTAGAGCATTGTGCTTGCGTTGTTGATCTCCTAGGTCGTGCAGGAAGGCTAGCAGATGCTGAGAAGTTCATTTTCAACTCATCTTTTGAGGATAATCCAGTTATGTGGCGAGCCTTGTTGAGTGCTTGCAGGGTTTATAAGGACACTGTTGCTGCAAAACGTGTTGCAGAAAAGCTAATTGATCTTGAACCTCAAGCTGCTGCATCATATGTTCTTCTGTACAACATTTACAATGATGCTGGGATAGAGTTACCGGCCAAAAGAATTAGGGAACTGATGAAAAATCGAGGAGTTAAGAAGGAACCTGGTCTAAGTTGGATAGAGGTAGGAAACAAAGTTCATTCTTTTGTTAGTGGCGATCGGTCTCACCAAATGGTTCAATTAATTTATACTCGGTTGGAAGAAATGTTGCGTAAGATACAGAAAATAGATTGTATTGTCGTTAAGTTGATTACTTCTGAACCAGAACTTAAGGACAACAAAGTGAACTACCACAGTAAAAGTTAGCTGTGACTTTTGGAATTATCAACTTGCCACCATCAGCTCCAATTAGGGTGATGAAGAATTTGAGAGTCTGCTGTGATTGTCATACAACAATGAAGCTCTTCTCTGAGGTGGAAAAAAGAGAAATAATCCTAAGAGATCCTATTCGTTTTCATCATTTCAGAGATGGTGCTTGTTCTTGTAGAGATTATTGGTAGCTGCATTGTGTATGTAATATGTATTGAGAATTGAGATTATTACCTGGATACCTGGATAAATGCTCTCTTGTGGAAGTACAAGAGTCCTTCGGTCAAAACTCAAAGACAGAATAAATGGATCCTATTTGGAAGAAGGTACATGGGACGAAGCTAAAACAGATTTGGAAACATCGTATGGGAAACCAGTTTGGATTCATCGGTACACAAATATGTCAAAGGAGCCTGGTATATTTAGGTATAATTTACTGATCTCAATGATTTAAATTTAGTATAATGGAAAGTGCGACAAAGTTATTTGCCTTGGCTCAGTTTGTTTTGATAGAAAATAGTACACTAAAAGGTCCTGAGTAGACTTTTAACTTTATATTTATTTTAACATATCAACAAGTTCTTAGTTTTTCCAGGAAATATTTGTCTAGAAAAAAGTACGAGACTATATAATTTGTTCATTATGTTGAACTGAGACCATTACTAGACCACAATAAGACAAAACCGTGGAATAAGAAAATCCCTAAATACCCACCCCCAAAAGAAGCATATTTCCTTAAATCTTTACAGAAATGATTTTTTAGCTTTCCTTCATCTGTTATACGCTTTCATCTTGTTTCCTTTTCCAGCACTTTCATTTATTACTGGACATGCTAGGTAGAGAAGCAATTGATTGACTGCTTGGTAGAGAAGCATTTGACCTTGGAACAGTATCATCTGTGGCAGGTTTCTTCTCCTAAATGTGTCGGTTTTTGTTCTTCCTCGTTCAGATTACACAACTTTACTCAAAAGTCCTAAACTGGATATGGTGTTTTTCTTAAGATGCCAAATCAGTTGCAATTCCTCCTATGGGATTATGATTGTTAAAAGGAAGGTCCATATTGTTTATGATGGAGACGCTTGTTGGAGATTGATCTTCAGGCCAAGCAATTGACCTCAGAAACTTATCTATATTTCAGGTAACTTTTATTGGCTAAGATAGTTCTCTATTTACCTTGGACTTTTAACTGAAATCTTTTATCAGTATAAATCAGTGTAGCAAAGGGTTGGAAATTCACTTCTTTTATTAATTTTTTTTTATTTGTTGATTCTTAGAGTTCTATTATTATTAGGATCAACTACAGAAAAACCCCCCAAACTCTTGGATCGTTTCCAATGTACTGCTTCACATTTCAAACTTATTCCCGAAATAAAATAAAACCTACAAATTGATCCTTCCATTAACCAGCCTGTTAGTAAGTCTTTTTAGTGTCTGCGTGGACACTGTGAATCCCACGTTTTACGCTTATGTGGACTCTAAATCTGTGCCACTTGGAAAAAGATATTATAATATGCATAAGCCTTTGAAAAGAAAATGAACACCATGCATTAGAAGAGCAAAAGAAAATAACAATGAAAAGCAAAACAAGCAAAACAAACAAAACAAAATCTCTTTCTCGGATGCAAAATCAGCATGTAAGACTTGTAAGAACTCTGCTTTAAAAAAAAAAAAAAAAAAAGACCGGAACTCCTCAAAACATTGTCGAAGATTTTGGAGAGGATAACGAGATTATAAATAATTCCACATTCGACATGAAGGTAATAATCAGTACTTTAATCTAGTAAACAAGGCTTATGCTGGTTACGCAAGAGTATTGTACAACAACGATCAAATGTAGATACTACCACCACTTGTGTGAGTATCATGAATTCTACAAATGCACTCGGTCAAGCAAATAATCTTAGTCGTATGTTGAATATCCTTTTAGAAGGTTGTTTACTCTTAAATGAAATACAAACGTCATTTTCCAACTGAATTTGGTTGACAAATTAAATGCTGAAAATCTTGTTTAGTAATCCTATTCAATTATATACCATACTTACTCTTTTCCTGACCAATTATAGGTGATACCTATATCCTTGAAGATGCTACAGTTAAGAGCAATATTACGGTTGAGTTGACTCCTTGCAGCCACCGAAGTAATTCCCTATATAACCATCTCATGTGCAACTTCCGGAAGGTACCTGCTGCTTCTTTGTATTCCCAACCATGGCTAAAAATACGACTAAGCATGAATTGATTTCTCATGAACCAAGCAGGAGAGCAACCTTAAAAAAGAGGAAGGCTAGTTTCTTCAGAAAGCTGGATGAGATCACAACTTTATGCGGGGTTATTGCATGTGCTGTTATTTACAATACTTCTGATACCAAGGTGGATGTGTGACCTTCCCACAGGAAGCATTTTATGTACTCGAAAAATTCAAGAATTTACCTGAAGAAAGGCAAGGTAAGTTCATGGTGGATCAAGAATCCTTTCTTAAGAACAATATATCCAAGCTGAATAGACAATTGGAAAAAGAGAGATTTAAGAATCAAGAACTTGATGAGAAGCTGCTTTTGATTGAATACCTGGAACTGGAAGGTAAGAATTTTCTTGATCCTGGTCGTCTTGAAAGTTTGATCAGACTTGTCATCAATTGGATAAAAAAATTGATTTCACTACGAAGCGGATTGAGTTCTTCGAGGGTGTGGGGCGCAACCAAGTTGATGCGGGAGTTGGTTCTGAAGAGACGGTGGCTATTTTGGTGTCTGGAGGTGTAGTAATTCAACCAATTCAAAATAAACTTTGTAAGCATAGAGCATAGTGTTGATGATACAGGTAATCCTATAAACCTTTATCATTGTCCCAAATGTACTTTTACTTTCTTTTACCTGAATAAACGTAGTTTTCATCTTTCAGTTATGCTCATAGCAAAGGTGTTTTAGGTTAAGATAATTTTCGCTTTGATGTGTAATTTAAACAGGATTATGACTCTTTGAACGGCTTACAAGGGCAAATCACTCGTAAGATCACACAGTATGCCGCTGTTCATTCTGAAGCTTAGTTGCCTTCTATGGAAGAACTAACGGCTTCAAATGATCGAAGGCTAGTCCTTTCTTGTAGGCATATTTTAACAGTAGAAGGTTCACTGAGAAGGTACAGAATCTTTGATGTTTGCATTCTTTACACATAAGCCAATTTTTTGGTTCAGCAAAACAAGCATTCTTTTGGTCAATGACACATCTTAACATCTTTTATTTGCTTACTAAACGGGATCGATCCAAGAATGATTCTAAATGAGAGTAAGCCTTGACATTACGAACATGTTGCTCCTCTGTGAAATATGTTGAAACAGCCCATTTGCAAAAGTGAAACAGCCTATTTGCAAAAGTGAAGTAAGATTGCCTACAATAGACGTTACCCAACCCTCGCAATGCGGAGAGCCTTGTTAGTTTAGGGTGTTGATTCATTCACACTCAGTTTGTGTTAGTATCTGGACTAAGATGAAGGATCCGATATCCTCATCCAGGCGAAAATGAAAGCAAAAACACAGAAGATGTAGCCAGCGTTAATTCATGTGACTTCACATAAGAACAAGTGCAGCATTCTGACTCCATATCTATCATTATAGCTATGGAATAAGTATTGTATCGAAAGTTACCAAAAATATTAACTTTACAAACACAAAAAAGAACAGCATTAAAACACATAATTATCTGCGACAAGCAAAGAGATTCTCCGAATCCAAGTCCTTATCAACAGCATGAAGTGGGGAGGTGCTGGGCAAGATACACAAGATGCCAGCTAAGAGCCATTAGGCTATCTCCGACTGAAGGGTCCAGAGGGTCAGAAGGCCGAAAATAGCCCGAAAATCGTCTCTAACCGAGGGCTAGGCCAGAGGGCTCGTGGGCCCAACGGAATCTGAAAGGGCCAAAGGGCCAGAGGGCTGGCTCCTTCCAACCAGCCAGCTAGCTCCGGGCTGGTCAAAATTTCGCTTAAAACTGTCGGATATAACCGACAAGAATAATTTACTGTCAGTTATAATCGACATGAATAGTAATGGCTAAAGAGGAAATATTTTTATTAATTGCAATTGTGTTGGTTATAACCGACACGAATAATAATTTGAATTGCAATCATGTCAGTTATAACTGACACAAATAGTATGAAAATTTTGAATACAATGGCTAGCTGAGTCAGCTAGCCGTTGTATTTAAATTTTAAAATTTTTTTTATGAATTTAAACCTTTTTTTTCTATTTTTAAATTCAATTTTTTTTTTCTTTTAACTTCTATTTTACAAAATTTGTTTCATATTTTTTTTAAATTCTATTTTTTCCCTATAACTTCTATTTTACAAAATTTGGTTCATATTTTTTTTTAAATTCCATTTTTTCCTATAATTTCATTTTTACAAAATTTGTTTCTTATTTTTTTTAAATTCTATTTTTTTCCTCTAACTTCTTTTTCACAAAATTTGTTTCATATTTTTTTTTAATTCCATTTTTTTTCCTATAGCTTCTATTTCACAAAATTTGATTCATATTTTTTTTCAATTCTATTTTTTAAATAATAAATTATGTTTGGCCCTATTGCCCTTTGACCTTCGGTTGGAGACGGTTTTTTGTGACAGGGCTAAAACGAGTTTTTATGGTCCTTTGGCCCTCGGTTGGAGACGGAGGTAAATATAGTCATGTACTGTTCATTAAAATATTAATATCTTGGAGGATCAGAGAGCTAAAACGAGCCCTCTGGCCAGCCCTTGGTTGGAGATGGCCTTAGTGACGCGATGTTGAGGAATGACGAAAAATTAATTAGCTTTTTCAGCCTCTCACGCATCTCGTTAGGCCTCTCAATATCAGGCTCAACCACATGTTGCTCCCTCATCGAGACTTGTGGAGGCGTCGTGATTGAGGGTTCACCTTCAGTGGTAGTCTGCTGCTACTGCCTCTTCCTCTTCCTTCTTCCTTCTCGATCTTCATTCTCTCAAACATCACCTACACGCACATTCTATGCAATGAGAGCAAATACACACGACCAAGTACACGCGCAATGCCATAAAAAAATTACTTGGAACACTGCAGATAGAACAAGACTGAAAATGAAGGCGAGACAGCGTGAACACTTGGCGGAAAAAGCAAAAGCAGGGAAGGAGACTGCGGAGGAAGCAGTTGGTAAGGTGAAGGCTGGAGCGGGGGAGCTCAAAAGTGACTTGGCGGAAAAAGGAAAAGAAGCTAAAGAGACTACGGAGGAAGTAGCTTTTAAGGTGAAGGCTGCAGCGGAGGAGCTCAAAAGTGACTTGGCTGAAAAAGCGAAAGAAGCGAAAGAGACTGCGGAGGAAGCAGCTGGTAAGTGTTAAGGCTAGAGCGGAGGAGCTCAAAAGTGGGACCCAGAAGAGGCTGCATTAATTGAAGGACAAAGGAAGAGAGTTCTGGTACGGTGCATTCAGGTTCATAGCATCGGGTGACTTACAAGAGGGTTTGATGTCCGTGGCGCATCTGTTCGGGCTGGCTACGGCTTACGGGATGTGCATGTGGATTACGTTGGTGTCGAGCCACGTGTTGGCGGGGAGCCTACCGCCGCAGCAGTTTGGGATGGTACAGAGCAAGATTTACAAGGTTTATTTCAAGGCCATGGCGTATAGTGTTGGGATGGCATTGTTGGGTCATCTGTGGAAACATAGAAGTTTGTTGTTTCGATGGAAGTCGGCGGATATGTTGTAAACTATAACCTTATTGCTGCCCTTTCCATGATCTTATGTACTTGGAGCCTCGATCCACTAAGGTAATCGTCAACAAAAAATGATTTAGAATCATATATAAGTTGTATGTCTAGTGTATTGACCACTAGCTTTTTATTATTTTGTATTTCGGAATCACGGAACAATTGGTGCTCTGATATTCTTGTGATTTTACCCTGATGTAGATTGTTTTGATATAATTACTTTGTTTATGCTGTGATATCGTTCGGAGGATTTTGTCTTCCAGCAGATTTGGCTCTGGTGTGTGTCATTGCCTGATACCCTTCACAGGCATGATTGTTAATTGTCAATACGTTCTTTTGGTTAAATGTGGGTAGTATGTGTTTATTGTTCGACAAGAGCACTTGAAACAACTCGCGAGTCTAGAACCCTATATTTTTCACAGTATGTGCATTATAATTATTTGGAGCCATCGGCATAGTTCATTGTGTTGAAGGTCTTTCTACTTTTGTTACTGATTTAATGACAGAGATTTCTATAGCTACGAGACATAATTTAAAAGAGCCTTGTATGTTAATTACTCGGCGTTTTGGATGGAATTTGGTTGTCCGTGTTTTCTTGTTTTTAGTCTCCTAAACTCACCTTCATTTTCAGTCTTGTTCTATCTGCAGTGTTCCATGTAATTCTTTTATGGCATTGCGCGTGTACTTGGTCGTGTGTATTTGCTCTCATTGCATAGAATGTGCGTGCAGGTGATGTTTGAGAGAATGAAGATCCAGAAGGAAGAAGGAAGAGGAAGAGAGAGAGTACACGTTGATGCCAGAATCAGTAGGGAGGCTGGCCACCAGCAGCAGTAGACTACCACTGAAGGTGAACCCTCAATCATGACGCCTGCACAAGTCTCGAGGAGGGAGCATCAGGTGGTTGAGCCTGATATTGAGAGGCTTAACAAGATGCGTGAGAGGCTGAAGAAGCTAAATAAATTTTCGTCATTCTTCAACACCGTGTCAGGAAGGCCATCTTCAACTGAGGGCTGGTCAGAGGGCTCGTTTTAGCCCTCTGATCCTTCAAGATATTAATATTTTAATGAACAGTACAGGGCCATATTTACCTCTATCTCCAACCGATGGCCAAAGGACCATATGACTCGTTTTAGCCCTGTCACAAAAAACTGTCTCCAACCGAGGGTCAAAGGGCCATAGGGCCAAACATAATTTATTATTTAAAAAATAGAATTGAAAAAAAATATGAATCAAAATTTGTGAAATAGAACTTATAGGAAAAAAATGGAATTAAAAAAAAATATGAAACAAATTTTTTTTAAAAAAAATGGAATTAAAAAAAAAGTATGAAACAAATTTTGTAAAAAAGAAGTTATAGGCAAAAAAAATATGAACCAAATTTTGTAAAATAGAAGTTATAGGAAAAAAAATAGAATTTAAAAAAAAATATGAAACAAATTTTGTAAAATAGAAGTTATAGGAAGTTAAAAGAAAAAAAATAGAATTTAAAAATAGAAAAAAAGGTTTAAATTCATAAAAAAAATTTGAATCCAACGGTTAGCTGACTCAGCTAGCTGTTGTATTTAAAATTTTCATACTATTCGTGTCGGTTATAACCGACACGATTGCAATTCAAATTACTATTCGTGTCGGTTATAACCGACAGTAAATTATTCCTGTCGATTATATCCGATAGTTTTAAACAAAATTCTGGCTAGCCTGGGGCTGGCTGGCTGGAAGGAGCCAGCCCTCTTGCCCTTTGGCCCTTTCAAATTCCGTCGGGCCCACGAGCCCTCTAACCTAACCCTCGGTTAAAAACGGTTTTCAAGCTATTTTCGGCCCTCTGGCCCTTTGGACCATTCGGTTAGAGACTCGTGTGGCCAAGTAACTCTGGTTCCCAACACTTAATCAAGTTTTTAAAATTCACGTGAACTCCTGAACAATGGTACTTCAAGGCACAATTTCGTTAACCCATAACTCGTAGCAATCTGCCCAAGTGGAGTGTGATGTACCAGTGAAACTAGGATTTGCATCGACAATTTCTGCCCTTGCCACTACTTTGCCTTTTGCAGTCCAATGTAAGTTATTGCAGTTGACATTGGTGAGGTTCTAATAAGCAGGGACTCGGGTGCCGCCTTGCGTGAACTGATAAGAAACCAATATATCATATACCAGTGAAGTTCCAACTTGTGTAGGTGCTCTTTTATGAGTAGAATGCTTCTCATTCTGTGGAAGAAAAAAAAAAGAAAATATATATGGGAGCAATGCATCATTCTATAAAACTAGGATTGACAAAAACTTAGTATGAAACCTGGCCACACTGGCAGAGGGAGTAAAGGACCAGGGATTGCCTAGGCCTATCCTGACTTTCTAAAACAAATATATATATTAGGGAATTATGCATCTTTCTATTGCTTCAAGTCCTGCTTTCCACGTTTCAAGCATAACCCCATCTCCCAATTAGCTTTAATATTTTATCTATCTCCTTAACACAAATTAATAGCATTTAAAATCAAAGCAATATTTTGCCTTTCTTGCTTGGAAGAGAAAACTTTAGTTATACACATTCTATCATCCTAAATTCGATACCTATTCAACAAATAAGTTTTAAATTTCTTTGATTCTCTATTGTTTCTTCTCTATTCTACATATTACATGAGAGTTATGGTTCATAAAATTTTTATTTATCTCATTGAGTTTAATAGTATAGGCGACGAGGTTATAATAAAACGATTTTAAAATATTAAAACTCGTTGAAGACAATTATAAATTTTGTGAGTATGTAATATTATCTATGCATATGTTCTTTTGGACATTTGATTTTGATACACACACACACATGTATATATATATATATATATATATATATATATATATGCTTCGTAAATACCATCTGCTAAAAAAAACACCTTTATGAAAAAGACCCCTCCTCATTGAAATTTCTGATTCCGCCATTGCCTGGTCATACGTCTTATTATACGCTCATGTAGAAACTTTTGTTAACCTAATACAGTTTCTAGTTTATTGTTCATGGATTGCTTCCATGTTTATAATTTGAGCACCTAACTTTGAAGGTGTAACCCCAAATCCATAAGCTCTAACATGATCAACATATTCCCTTTCAAGAACTCGAGCCAATGCATCCTCTTTCTTTGGAAGAGGCCCCCATCAACTGGAACTTCAGACATATTTTGTTCATTACCCCTCTAAAAGATAATTAACAGCATGGCATTATTTGTAGCTCACTCTAGGAAGTTTGGAGAGCAAGTCAATGAGTATATTTTATTGAAAACTAAACATTTCATTTTTTTATTACAAACGATAAGATTATTTTAAATTTATCCAAGTTACAGGGAGAAAGAGTCGAACACAAAATCTCACGTGCATGATTGACAACTGAGCTACAAGCCAACATACAAAAACTTAAAACATTATGAAGAGAATCCTTTCTAGATCCTATAATATTGAGGAAGCAAATTACAAAGTAATCTACCAAATTAGGTGTAGATATGTCTGAGATTCGGAATCCATCATCTGATGGGGACATCAAAACGAAGCACATAGTTTACATGGTATAACACCACGTGGACACGTATTCTTGCTAAAGTAATATAAATGGAGCTCAGCTAGCTGGTTTTATACTAATTTGGATTGGAGGGGTCCGGTCAGCTCAGGTGACACCAGATCAGGTCAGGCCCTTCACTGTTTTTAGTCATATGGTTTCAACCAGGCTGTCTCTAGCTAAGCTTGACGACTGCCAGCTGGTTCGTCATCCATGGAGCACTTTGTCACCAACAACCTAGGAAAATATGCATGCAATAATCGAAACAACTTTTTGAGTTGACTGAATGGATCCCGCGCACCGTCCCTTGCTGTACCCGACGTACGGTTTACGCGTGAACCGCCAGACCCTGCTTGACCATGCATATCTCTGTCTGTTTAGGGGTAGGATTTTCTTCCTTATTTTTTTTTTCTTTTTTATCGTCTCTGATTTGAACAATTACGGTTAAATTATGTTAATATTTTTTTATTGATTTTATATAGAAAGAGAAAAACAAAATGTGAGAGAAGAAGAGGAAAGAAAATGGAAAGAAAATTAGAAAGAATCCTAATGGCTGATCGAGAGGCTCTCTCTCTAAATCTTCCACTTTGGCAATGCATGATTGCATGGGAGTCATGGGATGTAGAAAACCAAATCGAATTGGTAGGGACTAAGATGAGAAATAAGGTACGGGTACATGGACGTACGGACACAATTCAATTAGGGTTAACTTTTAGGCAAATATTTTCGGTGGCCATTGAAAAGTTGATTGGGTTGAACTTACATTACCAATTGAATTTGAAGGAAAACAATTTTTATCGAGAATTTAAGTTAAAAAAACAAATCAAGCAGAGCAAATTTTCATCTTTCTAACAATGCGCCTTCTTCTTTGTCGTGAAACAACTCAAGAACAAAGAGAAAGATGGAAGCTTTGAGAGATTTTAATATTAATTATCATGCATATTAGTTTATTTCTTGTTAATTAGCTAGCTGGTTGGTTAATAAATGTCTACTATATATGTGACTTCTACTGTTTTGGAGAGGAAGAGAAGAAAGGATTGGAGATTACGGACATAATTATATAGAAAAGTTGATTTTAACCTGAGTGCTAACATATTTAAAAGAAAGCCTAAAAATTATCCATTTTTAGATTATACCCTTTGACCAACATTCCACATAAGCAAACTTTCTTTTTTTGAGGTCAAAGTTTGAACTGATTTTTCATTCCTAATTTACCCTCCAAAGATGACAATTACATTTTGCTCATTAGTTAATTATATAATTTCCTGCATTAATGGGTTATTTATATTTTTCATTCATAATTTTCAACGTTATTAGTTAGGGGCTCTAGTTATTGTATGTATTTCCTGCATTAATGGTATCAAACTCGTTATTTACGAGATTTAAATCTAAAATTTCTTACTTACAAATAAAGAAAAAAAACTACTAGAGTATATACCAAGTGGTATAATTACCCATATCTTATTTATTTACGTTCACAGTCCTAGACAATGACATGCAACATGTTTGCACTTATACAAGCACTAACGGTAAGTAAACTATGGCTGTGTGAACATAATCACGTGGCATTATTTGATTGCCATGGAAATTCTGCACGTGCATCAATTGCCACTTGCCAGCATCTTCCCACTTACGTGTAACTACTCGGAAACTCACTCTACCACCCCCTCTCCCCTAATGATTTAATAATCACCGCACGATCATACCTAGATACGTGTATACATACATACATATATATATATATATATAGATATAGATATAAAGGAGACATAAGTGCACATTTAATTGTTAATCAAACAACAAACACTTACGGATCACCAAACCGAGAAATTAATTAAACCCCTTCATTAATGGAATCCCAGGCTGCAGACTGCCGCGTCTCTCCGGCAAGATACAGAGGAGTTCGCAAGCGAAAATGGGGCAAATGGGTGTCCGAAATCCGCGAACCAGGAAAGAAAACCAGAATATGGCTAGGAAGCTACGAGGCACCAGAAATGGCAGCTGCGGCCTATGATGCAGCGGCATTGCACCTCAAAGGGCGTGGGGCGGCGCTTAATTTTCCTGAAATGGCTGATAGTCTGCCGAGGCCGGCCAGTTCAAGCGCAATGGACGTGCAACTAGCGGCTCAAGAGGCTGCATTGAGGGTTAGACGACAGCAGCTGCCAATGGAGGCATTTCCAACGGAGGAGGCGGGTGACTCGTCGAGGGGTTTGAGCTCAGCGCCAGTGACGGTGGGATTGTCTCCGAGTCAAATCCAGGCGATTAATGAGTCGCCGTTGGACTCGCCAAAGATGTGGATGCAGTACATGTGCAGGGCTCATTGCCATGAGGCTCCGTCGTCGTTAGGGGGAGACTTGTGGGACATTGATAATTCCAGTCCAAACAAGTACTACGAAGGTGATGTCGAGTCAATGGACTACGAAGATATGCAGAATTGGTCCATTTGGGACCCCTAGTAATTCTTAATTAGCTTATTTATTATAAAATTGAACACTAATAGTGTAGCCAAATATAGAACAAAAATAAATAAATAATATAATATACTAAGTGTTTGCTGCCTTGGCATCTTGCCCTTTGGCCATGAATATTTTTTCAAGTTACATTTTTCAATGAGAACTTTCGGTTCATGAAAAAGATGGAATAACTAACTATAGTGTTACTTCTGTTTAATTATAATTCCATTGAATTAGATACCTCATATAATTTAAAGGAATTTAAATCTTTTGCATTCAAAATTTTATGTGACCTTTCTATGACCTATATACGTGAATAACATGTGTCTTTTTTACTTAATTTATCTTTAGTTTTTCATTTTTTTATTGAGGAGATAAGTTGAGGAGTTAATTAATATTGTTAAGTGGAGTTTAAATAAATGGCTAGATATCAACAAATGAGAGATTATAAAGAGATCACAGAAGATTTTAGGTGCAAAAGATTTGAACTTGATTTAAAGTATACTAAGATAAAAACTAAAAGTAGAGATGAATGATATATATATATATAATTTATAGGAATTAAAGGTGATAAATTATAAAGTATCGATGATAACCTACAATATTGTGGATATTGAAGGTATAAGTTTCATTCATGACTGCAACTTTAAACAAATTTATTCATTTCTTCTTTCACTTGCCTTGATTCTCGTGAACTATCAAATCCAGTCCACTTCTAAGCACCAAGCGAACTCAAACTTACAAAACAAACTTGGGAAGAAAGAAGTTTGAAAATTACACTAGATTTTGAGGAGAAACTTTCAAGGTCCTAAATCCCACGATAAAGTAATGACAATATAGGTGTTATTTACCGATTTCAAATTTGGCTCTTTAAATTGTGACGACACTCTTTATGTTGTGAATTATTGGATCACTATCAAGGTGGAATGGAAACATCTGGTATGGGCGGCCAACCGAGCAACCGGTCAGTGAAGACAAGGGTTGAGAATAAATCCCATATTGGAGAGACTTTGTAAGGGCTTATAAAAGGTTGGGCTATTCTCAATATTGCCGATTGGTTTATGGTGGAACCTCAACTTCATCGTAGTCTCAAAACAAGTTGTCCACGTGTGGAGCCCAATGGCCAAAGCGCTCCATGTCATCTCGTTTGTGTTGTCCACGTGTTAGGCTTGAAAATTCGCTACACGTGAGGGAGCGTGTTGAGAATGAATCCCACATTGGAGAGAGGAAGGACCTTGCAAAGGCTTATAAGAGGTTGAGCTTCTTTCCATATTGCCAATTGCTTTTATGGTGGAACTTCAACTTCTTCAACAACAACTAGCAGGAACAAGAAGCGCACATAAGAGCAAGTCCACCCCTAAAAAAATACGCCAGCACCCAGCCCATTTAATCCACTCAGTGAACAGTGATAAACTCTAATGAACAATAATAAGCCAAATGTATCTCCACTCCTAAAACAATATAGCCTCGTCAATTTTATTGAAATATTATTATTTTTATTATAAAATAATAAAAATAACAATTTTATTTTAATTTCTGACTTTATAAAAAAATATTATTAATTTCTGACATTTTATTTATTTTTTTAAAGTTTTTTGGCGGAAAAATATGGACCGTTAATCTGAAAATCGAACAGTTCTCATTGTGCCACGTCAGTAATCATTAATTTTAAATTTCAATTTTTTTACTGTTGGAAATCCAACGGCCCAGAAAACTAGCCGTTGGAAATCCAACGGACTCAGTGGAGCCACGTGTCCCCACGCCAGAACCCCATATTGCACCTGCACAGTGGGCCTCGCCTCTGCACCGCTGTCGGCTACTTGGGCCCACGCGCGCTTGTCTTCCATGCGCCTGGCACAAAAAAATATTTAAACGACATGTGACATCAAGCTGGCGTCAGCATGACACCACATAGGCCGGGCCTTGGCTCAGTACATTCTGGGGCACCCTATGGGATGGCTTGGGCTGGGTTGAAGGAAATTGGCTGGGTGCCAAGCCTAAAAGGCTGCTGGGTGCCGGGCTAATGGCTCCCGGTGAACTTGCTCTAATGCAAGTTGCAGCCTTGAGCGGCCAATCGACTTTGCTTGTTACCTATTTTTTTCGGTATTTTAAAGCCTTTTTAGTGAGGTTTATTTGTTCATGAAGGATTCCTTGACGTAATTAAAGCCTATACATATAAATAGAACGTTAGGGGTTTTCTTCTTTGTATAAAAATTACAAAGAAAACACTTTGAGAGATTGTTATCGGTGGGAGAGATATTGAGAGCTAGGGTGTGAGATTGTTAACCTATGATATTAAGGGAGAATGTCTTATGGTTAAATAAAAATAAAATAAATAAAACACCCCTAGTTAAATGACATAAATAAGAAACCACATTTTGAATGTGGTGGAAAGGGTCTTCCTCTTCAACCTAGTGTGTTCCAAGTTCAAATTCTCTTCCCTCCCCATAGTTGAATTGAATTTAATGTAGATTATCTTATCGTTTGTCTAAGAAAAAGAAAAAAGAAACTATGGTTTAATATTAGAAGGACAAAATAGTAAACACCAATATTGTATATAAAACACTAAAAGTTATGTTATTGGTACTCCATAATAGTACGTGAACTTCTCCTATGAAGAAACTTAAGAGAAAAATAACATTAAAGAGGAATGCATGCCAATAGCTCTCAAACTGAAAACAAAATAAAAACACAAAACCCATGTATTGTGTAGTTAGCATCATTTTCTCATTATTTTCTTTCACATATATGCTCACATATCTTTTAGACAAAAACTACTTCATACCTTATGCTTTTGGAGCCACAGCAAGGTATCCTCTTAACCTGATCCTGATAAAGACACAGAAAACTTTCGATTTGTAACTACATAGTTTTCAAAGAATACTCTTTGCCAATTGTGTAGTACTCGGGCTTCAGTTTCAAATGAGTTGGGAGCTACGTATCCTCAGGCTGCTAAAGTGACGGTATGTGCTGTAATGGTTCTTGCTGTGGCGGAAATGACTGTTGTTTGCACATCTCTATTATCATACCGCCATTGTTATGGGTCCTCTTATTGGTAGTTTCTCCACTGTTATGGATGAGTTGCAAGCACTACTTTTAGGTTTGTATCCCCAACTTCACTTCCATTCTTATGGATGGGTTACAAGCATTATTTTCAGCCTTACATCATATAGGTGGGGCACTGACACTAGCGGAGCCAAGGTCGGTGCAACCCCTATAACCTTTAGGCCAAATTGTAGGCTCTTTTTGGCTAACAGTAAAAGGCAAAGAAAAATTGAAAGGCCTAGAGCCTTTTCGGTGCCGACAGGCCCAAACAAGAAGAAGAAGAAGGAGTTGCTGCTCCATTTGTTAGCCATCACTCCATCAAAGTTGTAGTTGTTGTCCTAGTCTTGAGTACATTAATTGTGGAGAAATCTCATTAAAATTTCGATGTCTTTGTTTTTACATTTTATTTAGTATATTTCCTGTGGTTGGCTTGAGTTCGTTTCCAATTGACAATGGTACTGTTTTTAGCACAACAAATCCAACGTTCATCTCTGTATACATCACTGACAACTCTCTTTCAACGCCTCTTCTTTCTTTGCTAAATCTCCCCACCACCATGAATCTATCGCCTGACAGCCTCCAGATCTTCAGCCCCTTTTGCCCTACCTTGTCTAGGACGTCAAATTGACCGACAACTTGTGATACTAGACACGAATTTTGGAGCATAAGCCACGAAAATATACTCTTGACTCCATTGTTGTAAATTTCTGACTCCGCCAATGAGAGTTGGGTTAGGTGATTATTGTCTGACTTCTTCATCGGGCTCGTCTTGAGTCCAATTGCCCAAGTGGGCTGAGTGTTTTGGGGAGGGGAGAAAGGGAATTGAGTTGCCTATCCTCAATGCAATAAGCAATGGTGGAGTTGCTCTTAAAGTATCACTGATGCCACTAGAAACTAGGAAATATATACACTAATAAAAATTTGTGTTCTATTAAAATAAAAAAAATGAATATTTGTGAGTTGATGTAGTTGCCATTGCAGCTGTGTTTTACAGAATGGAATTTTTTAGAATTGCTTTTTCTTTTTCCTTTTTTTTATTTATTGTTTTATGTGTAAAAGGGGCTATTTAAAAAAAAAATCCTCAAAACAAATTAAGTACAAGCTAATCAAATCTAAAATTTTTTACTTACAAGTAAATATAAATATAAATACCATTGTACAGATAATGCCAAGTGGGACCCTCTTGCATCAGAAGCACACAGTTTTGGAATTTGGAGGAGCTAATTTCATTAATTGACATTTCATGGGGGCTTGATTTGACACCCTTGCCCTCACTACAGTTACCCTAGCACTTCGGCGAAGTAGCCTTACGACGTCGTTTTGAGTTTGAGTTACGTAAGGGTACTTTGGTCTGCCAAAGACTAGTTTTCGTTCGGATTGGGTCGGATGACGTGGGCTGTCTTCTTCGTTTGGGAAAGCAGGCTTCTTTCTCCTGTCCTGTGTATCCCTCTCTCAGCCTCACTTGAACTCTCATCACCGCCGGAAGAGGCAAACCCAGACGCTGTTAGCGGCGGAAGGAATACCATCACCGGGTAAGCAGCCGTCATAGAACTTTGACTCCAATTTTTCTTGGATTTGTTTGTTTATCTGTTGATAAATAGTATTGGGAAGAACAGGGAAAATGAGGTTCTAGGTTTTTCTTAACTCAGATTTGAGTTCGGAATTTCTATAGAATTTGATTTCTCATGGAACCCTTTCAGAAGAAGAACATCAAAGCCGAATAGTCGTTGACATCTTTCAGACGCTTCTCTTTTCAGTTTGCTTCTCTACATTCTGAGAATTTGAACAGTCTCTGATATTGGGTTGTCTCGATTGTCTAATTTTGTTTGGGTTTCTATGAAATCTTGTAACTTTGATTGGTTTGTATATCGTTCAATGCGAATTTTGATGCGGGTTTGGTTTGTTTTCGGGATTTGTTTGGATGGTCGAGTTATTGTCATGTTACAGGGGATTTGTTTGCATTGTTCTGCATTAGTTTTAGTTGGAATTAACATATGCGTTATAATAAGTGTTCCCTGCATTAATGCAAAAGGTTTTCGACCAGGTTAAGGACTTGCAAGAGAAAGTCTGGGAAGCCAATAAAGTACAGTAACCACCATGGTTCTCCACGGTAATTTCCTTCAGCTATGCCCTCACTTTGCATTATAGGGATAACTTGCATGAATGTGACTTATAGTCTCTGCACTAATACATAGTTCTCGATTAATGTTTGCATTTTTTTGATGCTTGCTTGATTCTCTAATTAACTTCTGCAATATCCCAGCTCATGTTCCCGGAAAGCTTTAGTTAGCTTCTTTCATATGTCTTTGTAGCCATTATGGTATAGGAGAGATGTGTGCAGAATGGAGTTTTTATATTAGTTTATAATTCAACAAATTCCAAAAGAGTGATTTGTTGGTTTCTCTCAATATGATGTTACCAATATGGTGTCTTATGCAAGTAAGGATGTCATACCCTCTAGTAACGAGAGCATATGGTTTTTCATCAATGTTTTTAATTTGTCTTCTTAATTGTAAGTTTGTAAAGCAGATGTATGAGTTCTGAGTTTTATAATTTTGTTTCCTAGTAAATTGAAAGAATTAATTATTGTTTATAATGTGATTTTATCAATACGGTCCCCTCCATGCTCCATGCAAGTAGAATAGTGATGATAATAATTTCACAAAGTTTAAGGTGTCATGTACATGTATTTCAGTTTTTATTTTTCTTTTAGACACTGGAAGTGCAAATTACATACAATATCTTTTAACATGGAGTTTTGTTTTCGTAGATTCATATTTTTTATGGGGGTAATTTAGCAGTTTGTCTGTAATTGTTGATAAGGTTTACCGTGTTTCATTTTGATTTTGTTTAGGATGATGTGTATATACGTGTTATCAGCTCTGGCAACCCCCCAACACACAGAGGGGACTGAATTTTGTTATGTTTCCTTGATGTGTTTTGGAACTTAAACTTTAAACACAATAAAAGTATTCAATAATTAACAAACATGCTCTGGTACCTTGATTATATAGAAAAAGTGATTAGCTTGTTGACATTAGTGTATGTATTTAAACTATTGTTCTTGGATTGTTTCCTGATTTAGAACGTTTATGTATTTTACTCTGAAGTTTTACTATTAATAGCTATATGTAGTTGAAGTTTGTAAATTCAGCGGCCTTTTTTTCTCTTAAAATGTTGCCATTAATACCTTAGTTGCTTATTATAATGTATCTTTTGTACCCACTACCCATCAAGAAAAATGTACTTTTTTTATATTGATTTTTTTTCTCTTTTAATTTGAGAAGAACAAGAGGTTATATGATTCTTCGAAAGAAGCCTTGCTGAGTTTTCAACGGGTGAAGAGCACCAAAGAAATTTTAAGAATCAGTTAGAGCATGAGAAATGGCTAGTCAATGTGTTTTTTCTAATTTACTGATAGGGGAACTGGCTTCTTGCAGACTTGTTGCTATGAGAATGTATATCTGGCAGTTTCCAGTCAGACGCAACAAAATGATGTTCTTCAAAGATTTTTTCGCTTTCCAGGAAGCAAATCATTGGAACAGTTGATGATTACGTTGAAGAGTTGTGCTTCTGATTGGTTTTGTTTGCCACATGGAGGACCATACATTTGTTGTCGGTCAAGAGTTCCCTGATGTCAAGGCCTTTAGGAATGCAATTAAAGAAGCTGCAATTGCACAACACTTTGAGCTTCGCATCATAAAAAGTGACCTTATCCGCTACTTTGCAAAGTGTGCAACTGATGGCTGTCCATGGCGTATCCGGGCTGTGAAGCTTCCTAATGCCCCAACCTTTACAATAAGAAGCCTTGAAGGGACGCACACTTGTGGGAGAAATGCACACAATGGGCACCATCAGGCTTCCGTTGATTGGATTGTCAGTTTTATAGAAGAACGCCTGCGGGGTAACATCAATTACAAACCAAAGGATATATTGCACGACATCCATAAGCAATATGGGATTACTATACCATATAAGCAAGCTTGGCGTGCAAAAGAAAGAGGACTTGCCGCAATTTATGGTTCTTCTGAGGAAGCGTATTGCCTTCTTCCTTCATACTGCGAACAAATAAAGAAGACCAACCCTGGAAGCATTGCAGAGGTATTTACCACTGGTATAGATCACCGTTTCCACCGGTTGTTTGTGTCCTTTCATGCGTCCATTTATGGATTTCTGAATGGTTGCTTGCCTATCATTGGTCTGGGCGGAGTTCAGCTAAAAAGTAAATATCTTGGTACTTTACTCTCTGCAACTTCGTTTGATGCGGATGGTGGATTATTTCCACTTGCATATGGTGTTGTTGATGTAGAAAATGATGAAAGCTGGATGTGGTTCCTGTCAGAGTTGCATAAGGCACTAGAGATGAACAGTGAGAATATGCCGGAGCTCACATTTTTATCTGATGGACATAAGGGAATTGCAGATGCAGTAAGAAGGAAGTTCCCAAATTCTTTAAATGCTTTTTGCATGCGCCACTTGAGTGAAAGCATTGGAAAAGAGTTCAAGAACTCAAGGCTTGTTCATCTTCTATGGAATGCTGCTTATGCCACTACCACTATTGGCTTTAAAGAAAAGATGGTTGAAATAGAGGAGGCATCTCCGGAAGCTGCAAAATGGCTACAACAATTTCATCCTTCCTGCTGGGCATTGGTGTATTTTGAAGGAACACGTTATGGTCATCTCTCATCAAATATTGAGGAGTTTAATAGATGGATTCTTGAAGCTCGTGAGCTACCCATAATCCAAGTGATTGAGACAATTCATATTAGATTGATGGCTGAGTTTGAAGAACGGCGTTTGAAGAGTAATTCGTGGGTTTCTGTACTTTCTCCATCTGCGGAGAAGCGTATCATAGAAGCCATCAGCCATGCATCCACATATCAGGTCCTTCGGTCTGATCAAGTAGAATTTGAGGTTCTTTCACCAGATCGATCAGACATTGTGAATATTGGCACCCATTGTTGTTCCTGCCGTGATTGGCAGCTATATGGGATACCATGTTCCCACGCTGTGGCTGCCCTCATCTCCTGTCGAAAAGATGTACATGCCTTTACACAGAAAGTTTTTACAGTTGCAAGTTACCGCGAGGCATATGCTCAGGAGATATACCCTATCCCAGGAAAAATTGAATGGAGAAAGACAGATGAGGCTTCTATGGATGATGATATCCAGGTCGTGCGACCTCCCAAGTTTCGTAGACAGCCAGGACGACCGGAAAAGAAACGAATTTGTTTAGAGGACCTGAATCGCGAGAAACATACTGTCCATTGTAGCCGGTGTAACCAAACTGGACATTATAAGACAACTTGCAAAGCAGAGGGTATTGAAAGTATCGAACAGTTCTAGGTGTCTAATTTTGTGTTCTAGAGATCTCCTGAGCGTTTACTGTTACCTCAACGTAGGTTAGTATCGTGTGATTTCGACCATACAAGTTGTTCAGATGATGTAAATTAGAATTTGTCCACTGTATTACTAGGTGTCTGAGTAATTCGAAGGAACTTCTGAAAATGGAAGATGTATCTTCTGTAATGAGCAGCAGTTTTTCGTTTCTTTGTCGAATTGTTCATCCTGTTGGAATTCTCTCTTGCTCTAACGGAATATATGACACAGAATCAAGCGTGATGATGTTCTAGGATTCATATAGCCGACCTCACTTAGTGGGAAAAAGCTTTGTTGTTGTTGCTGTTGCTGCTCTATCTACTATTTTCAGGAAATTGCTTAAGACAGAACAGAGTTGCTAGATTTCTGATGAAAGAAGCCTCTGACAGTAGCAGTGGCGATGATGTTAGCTCTCCCATAATGGAGTGGGTAAGAAGCTTCTTGCTCATCAAGGAAATGAGTACGATATTCATTATTTAAAGAGATTCATGATTAGGTTGTATTTATTTGGGTCTCGATAAAGCTGTGCCGAAGATTTCAACTGGTATGGAAAAAGGCATCTCGCACCTGAGTTTACATATTAAGACCATCCTCAACTAACATATTGACAATCCCTTGATATGCGTTCAGTTTACCTTTGTAGCCTATTATTTTGTTATGTTTTTGGATTAAAATGATTATTTTGATAAGTTTTGCAGAAATATAGCTTAGGAGTTTAATGTGGATTTCGATAGAAAAATTACAAGAAAAGGCTCCCGTGTGTCGCTGGGCTCGTGGAGAGAATTGGGCTGGCCGAAGGAAACAAATCCAAAAAGGCTTTGGAGTGGTGCCCTGTACAAAAATGAGAAGGAAAGCGTTGGTTTTCGTTTCCAAGAAAAGTATCAAAACCAAATTCTAATTTTTTACTTTATGAACAAATGATACTGACTAGACTGAGAACGTGAGAGAGTGGGCAAATCCTTATAATGGACTAGCAATATTGTGGTTCAAATTTACCCGTCGCGAGAATCGAACTTAAGATTTCACTCTTATAAGTAAATCCTAATTGGATTAGTTGCTTATTATCCTAATTTTAATGGAGTTTAATTGTTTGTAGAGGTTTCATGTAAATTTTTGAATTAATCCCCTCAAAATCTCAAGGGAAGATGTGAGATTTGCGAATGCTTAAAATATGCCACGAAATTTCTCAAAGTTCCTCGAATTCCTCAAACTTTTTAAAATACTTTGAAATCAATTCCTAATTGAATATACTTGAAATGTTATAAACTCCTTTAAAATTTTAATTGAATACACCTGGATTTCTAAGGATTTTAATAAACTAACTTAAATCCTGATTCAATACACTTCAAATTTTAGAGAATATCTTAAAATACTAATTGAATACCCTTAGATTTATTAAAAGATATAAAATATCTTAAGTTTCCAATTGAATACACTAATCAAATTGTTGAGAAAGAGGAAGGTGGTGAAAGATACCATTATAATCAGGTGCTTCTTGCAGTTCTTTTTATTTTTTTTAATACATAGATATTTTTACACTAAGAGGAGGGAGAGTTCGGCTAAACCACACAATGGGAAACCTAATTTGGTATCGAATTCGCCATCCACGAGATTCGAATCTAAGGCCTCTCACTTCCAAGTGAAGAGGAATACCACCAGACCGCACTACTGAGTGGCTCTTGCAGTTCGTTTTAATGTAAACATAAGTGATAAACTTTTTGTACACTTGCACTATGGTTTAATGATATTTCTTTTTACTTATAAGTAAGATGTGTAAGGTTCGAATCTCGTAGATAGTGAGTTCAATAACATAAAGCACACCGATTGTGTCCCCAATTAAGTTTCAACTTTCAACCAACCATTGAAACCCAAATCAAGCAAAAACCCTCAGACTTTGGAAAGCAAAAAAAAAATCTCTCACATTCTCAAAGCTTGAAGCCAAAGCAATAATGTCCCTGAAGAGCAGAGCTTGTTCTTCAGTTGTCAAAGTTGACAAGGAGACGATAACCCTAGAGCTAGGACGGCCATCTGTTCGACGTGGATGGTGGTGGCCATGCAATCACAACTCATCGAGGACATGGCGGTTTACAACCGTTCCATTTGGACAGCGTAGCTGGTGACGTCTTCCCCAAGGTCCTCCAGTATTGGAGAGAGTAAGAGGCTGAGAACAACGAGATGGAGAGAAAGAAGTGGGTGGAGCGCTTCATGAAGCAGGTGGAACTAAAAATCAAGAACTAGTGGATAAATTTGATCTGCCAAACTTTGGCTGACATGATCGAGGGCAAGACTTCTAACATCCCTAACGATTTCACCCCTGGGGGAGGAGGAACTTCGTAGGAATTAAACCCATGGGCATTAGAGGGTAAAGCTGTTTAGTACGAGGAATGTTCGGTGCCCGAATGAGTATCAAGTAACTTAGTAACATTCATCAATGCAACAGAGACAGAGAGAGCATCTGTCCAAGCGATATAAGCACAAGAGGTTTGATTTTTAAAACTGAGTTTGTCATGCATGTACTTTGACTGAGAATGGTGTGACCCTTGATAAGTTTTTTAAGTACCACTACCCACTGAAATTCTCTGTTAGTTATCAACTTCTGATCAGGTTTGAATTAGTTCTTCTTGGTCTTCTTAGTCATAAGATTGACATGCCAATAAAGTCAACCAATGGGTTTTCTCTAAAAGTAATAGTGAAAAACTGAACAAAATTTTATTTCAGGATGATGCTATTAGACATTCTCTAATACAGGTGATGCTCACACATGATATAGCAGAGCTCACATCTATTAGAAAAAGTGTCGATAGATGTGTTACTTTTATTTGTCCAAATAGTTTTGTTGTTTATTTTTGTTATATATTGAATAAACCACTCATTGGAAAAGGAAACAAAATGCATTTCATACTTAATTACCATTTCTTAACAATTTCATATTTGTCATCTCTCAGAAACAGGCATGGAAATTTGTACATAGTTCTTTGTATATTCTTTTTTTTTTTTTTTTTTAAATGAAAAAAGATTAGGCAAAATTAAGTCTTCAGCAATAGTCGCATGCGTAGTTCTTCATATGTTTAATAGTACACATATACTTTAGTCGGAATTAATAAGTGATTGCCCACACACTACTACTGCGTACACTAATCTCAATGACAAATTATTTCCATTACATCAAATGACAAATTATTTCCATTACATCAAATAATGTAAAGACAATGAGAGCAAGAAAAAGAAATCACACGATCGAGTACACTCTTATAAGGCTAATTTAAAAAGTAGCCAAAGAGTTTGTGGTCCTTCATACAACACAAATCGATTCCACCTCACCTACTGCCACACCGGAACTACTTGATCAATCATCAGTGTCCCTCCAATCCAATTTTTAAATATTGGATCACCAAGAATGCCTCTTTCCATAGACAATTAAATTATTTAATCTGCTGATTTGGTCAATCAATTCGAAACAAATTAAGCTCAAAGTTTATCAATCTCTTTTAATTGGTAGACTTGTCCCCCATCTCTTTTATTTTTATTTTTAATGAAGCTGTATCTGTTTGGAAGATTTATTTGAATATATAGCTCATATATTTTACTCAAATTAACTACGTCACACAATTTTATACTAAAAAAATTATAATTTTAGGAAATTTATATATATAGTTCATATTTTGTCATTGTACTATTACGTAAACGTTAATTACCTAATTAAGGATCCCAAAGAGAGTCATTCGGCATATCCTCCCACTGATTCTCAAAAACGTCATTAGAGAACATCGTAGGCTCTGCCATTTGCATCCACATTTTGGGCGAGTCCAAGGGAGATTCGTTAATTGCCTGGATTTGACTCGGCGACAGCCTCACCCTGACCTGCCCGACGTTTGAGCTGGAGCCCCCAACCTCATGACCTTCAGCCGCACCACCACCACCACCACTACTACCTCTCAGCATCAAGGCTGCTTCATGTGCTGCCATGCGTATGTCATCAGAGGTGGAACTGGCAGGGCGAGGCAAGTTGTTGACAAGTTCAGGGAAGTTGAGCCTCGCTTCGCGACCCCGGAAATGTAACGCGGCCACATCATACGCTGCGGCCGCCATCTCTGGAGTCTCGAAGCTGCCTAACCAAATTCGGGTTTTGGTTCCAGGCTCGCGGATTTCCGACACCCATTTGCCCCATTTTCTCTTGCGCACGCCTCTGTAGGCCGAAGAGGCAGGGCCATAGGCATTGCTAGAATTGGCGGGATCCCCCATGCATGCAGAGAAATGTGAGCAAAAATGCTAGAATTGGTGTGCGTGTTTGCAGAATAATAAACTTTGAAGCAATGGTAGAACGATTATAAAACAAATTTGGTTGGTGAAAGTGTGGTCCAGTTGATTGGTATTTATAGATATGAATGTCTTGTGATTTTGGTATGAAACGTGGTCGCATAACATGAAAGGAAGTGAGCTTCCAAGCAGTTGCCTTGCCCAGGTACATGCTCGCAATATTATCTTCTTTTCTAGTTGTTGAAGGATCTAAAACAAAATAATTAAAATTAAATTGAAATATAAAAAATTGGAGATGAAAGTTCAGGCAATCAATGATGAAATATAAAAAATTGGAGATGAAGGGTTCAGGCAATCTATGATGAATCAAAAGATTGACAAGTATTGGAGGAATATTTTAAGCCAAAAATCTGTGAGGACTGGTGCAGTTAACCCAAGTAATTAATCAATAAATAGTATGTAAACTGTTGAGGACGCGGTTTAAACCCAGGTGGCATGAACTATATCCATTCTTCTTCTTTTTCTAATTTTTTTGGTTGAAGCATGAAATCCATTCGAAGTCCGGACCCACTGAATATCCATTCTCATATAGAGCTCACCAGCATCAGCATTGCGAATCTGAGATAAGCGTACAACCTTTCGTTGTTTTGTTTATTTTTCTTCGCAATAGGGCCCATGTTTTGTGTAATGTAAAAAATTAGAAACTTGTTTAAGGATTCTGAAAATATGACTTTAGCCCTTAAAATTTAATTTTCTCCACGTAAAGCCCGACATAAGTTTTTTACTCGAATGAAACCCTTCGGCTAAATTCCACATTAGCAAATTCATTAATTATGTTTGGCTTCACACATTTAAAACTTATCGAATGCCTAAAATACCCCGTCATATGGCCAATTTAGTTCTCGTGTTTTCGA